TGGGAGTCTGTTTCAAGGTCATCCACAAATCACTGTCTTTTTCTGGGTCTTCCAGACACCAGTGTTAAGACTTCCATAAACAGGGAAGAAAGAAAAAATACTCCTTTCCCCTTTCTCCCCCTCTCCTCGTCCTTCCTCTTCATTCCCTCTTCCCCTCCCCCCTCTACTCCTCTCCCCCATGTTCTCCTTCATTTCCTTCCCCTCTCTCTGCCTTCACCTTCTCCTCTTCCTCTCTTCTCTCCCTCCAACACTCTCTTCCCTTCCTTCCCTTCAGCTTTACTGTGCAGCTCAAGAAAGCTGACGTACAACTACTGTGTAGCCTCGGACTCCTGCTCTTCCTGCCTCAAACGCACAGGGGTAGAAAAGTTACCCCGTAGCACAGAGGTTTGCCACCATCCCAGGCCACACCTCCTCTTGAACACTAATTAAACGAGAAGTTTGTGTGGTTGGCCTCAGAGGTCATTTCCACTTTCTTCCTTCTATTTGTTGAGTAAATCATTAAAGCCATCCCATATTAAACATCCTGTATACATCCGGTAGGGAGCAATTCAATACGGCTCCTCAAGGTTAAAGGGTATTGTCTTTAATCGACTACAGTGATCGTAGTAAAGGAAGACCACTTGGAGAAATTATATTTCGGTTATATCCAGAAGAGATCAACAGGTCGAAAGACTCCAGCATGGAAGTGTGGGGTTTGACAGATGCTTGTAGGAAAAAGAAACATAGACATAACCTAGAGACTGTTAATAGAAACAAAGACGGCCGGAGCTATTTAGACTCTCAATTTTGTAGTAAGTTTAGGGGCTGGGAGATGCTCAGTCAGTGCAGTATCTGTCTTGCAAGCGCAAGGACTAAGTCCAGTCCCGAGGACCCAAGTGAGAAATGCCATGCATGGAGGTGATGCTTGTAATATCTACACTAGGGAGGCAAAGACAGACAGGCAGAGTCTGAGCAGTGACGCTTGACGTCCTCTGACCTTAACATGCATGCATACATGGACAGAAGTCACCCCCCATACACACACACACACACACACACACACACACACACACACTATAAGAACATAAAAAGTAAATAAAAGGGGACTTAAGGGGGGGTCATGCTTTTGTTGCCAGGAATATGACTGAGTCCAAGGGTGTCGATAGGCATTTCTTAGGCAACAAGGGGAATTATGAGACACAGCCTACCGAGCCACAAGATTTCGGTTGCTGGTGCTCAGGTTTGAGCAATCATGAAACAGACAAATGTCATCGAGGGAAGTGGGAGGGGGGAGGGAGGGGAAGGGAAGGGAAGGGAGGGGAAGGGAAGGGAAGGAGAGGAGGGTGGAAGGAAGCTGGGAGGAGAGTGCCCTCCGCCAGTCTGGTTCTGCTAGGTACATCAGTCCGTGGACATGAGACTCTGTTAATATGTGACACAACCCAGGCACACAAGCTCTTTCAGTTATTTGCCTTCATTGAGCAAGATTAAACAGCAATGAAGCAAATCATTGGCTTGTCACATCTGTGCTAACCCCCTCTGCTTATGAAGGAAGTTAGAAAGGAATGGCCCGTGCCCTGATATCTGCTGCCAATTCGCGTCTGCTTTGGCCTCCAGTTTGCTGGGGGAAGAAATCATAGGACGTTGACTAGAAAGATAATCTCAGAGGCACATGAGAAACTGCTTGGGGCTTGGGGGGGAGTGTCTGGCACTGAACTGCTTAAAGCTGAGACATTGTTTCGGTGACCTGGGCTCCAAGTGCCTGTTTGGAGGTCAGTCGATGGAAAATGTGTGACGGGAGCAGAAAAGCTGGGCTGTACAAGGAAGCCCATCTAGGACAGTGGTTTCAAGTCTGTGTTGTGGTTCTGTGAGAGGTTCCTGGAAGTTCCACAAATGGCAAAAATAGGTGTAGCAAGTTAAGAGTCACAGAGGTCCTGCCTGTAAAAACATTGTCTATAAACGCATATGCGATTCTCTATATGCTCATCATGAATTCTCTTTCTTTCTGGTGATAGGGGTGCTTGAGACCCAGGGTCTGTGCCAGTAACAACACACACTTCATGACCCCCACCCCCCTCCCCGCCCCGCCATGTTGTTCTAACTGGAAGTCATGAGGGGAGGGTAGTGAAGAAGGTGAAGGAGATTATGGGTTGCTTGATCTCCAGGGACGGTTTCTGACCCACAACTCAGCCTGTGGTTTTACAAACTGTAGCTGAGCCCATGATCATCCTTCCGGGCTCATTTTCTATAGCCTTTTGCCTGGTTTTGGGCCGCAGGCCTGGCCCCTTAGGAAGGCCTGCAGACCCCTGGATGCTTTACCGGGACGGAGTAGGATGCGTTCTCTGGCTCAGGCCATGTTGGACACTGGACTTCCTTATGACTGCGATGGAACCCTGGGCTGTCAGCAGTGTGCAGCAGAGGGGTTAGCCATGTGCCTTGTGCTGAGAACTGGGCAGAGTGACATGAAGGAGGCTGTCTGTGCTTACACAGATCCCAGAGGGATGGCTGAGTGAAGGGGCCACTTGTAAATTATCTGGACAAAGGGAGCCAGAGGAAAGCCAGTCAGAGGGAGGACACTCAGGGTGTCTGAGGAAGGAGGCAGATACCAAGGTCCTGGGGGGAAACCTTTGAGATCTTAAGGTGAGAAGGACGGATCTGTAAATGCTAACCCTTGGAATGTGTGTTTGAGAACCCTGCCCCAGGTGTCTCTAGGACATGTAGGGGACAGGTGTGTGTGTGTGGGGTGGGGTGGTGGTTATGGGCCAATATATAAAAAGAAGAAAAGCCTATGGTACATGCCTGGCTACTTGGAAGGCTGAGGTAGGTAAGTTATGTGACTTCAAGTCCACTCAGGATTTCAAGGTCACCTGTCTCAAGTGCAGGTAAAGCACACATTTCATCTCCCCGTTATTGCACAGGTCAGTGTTGCTACTTGTAAATTGCTTTAAGATCTCCCAGGGTATAAACGTCCAGGCAGCCTGGCACATGCTAGGCAAGTGCTTTGCCAACAAGTGACAACTCCAGTCTACAGTTTCCAGTTAGACCCGCCTGATTTAAGATTCTTTAAACGACCACTTATAGCAGGACTACCACGTGATCCGAAACTGCTCCTGGATGCCCCCCCTAAAGACCCTAAGTCAGCATGCAGACACTGGCATACCCACCTTCAATGTGGCACCGTTTATCAGATCATGAAGCCTTCCAATAGATGAATGGATGAAGAAAATGCGAGCACATAAAATGAACTATTATTCCCATATAAGGAATCAAACGCAGCCAGGATGAAATCTCGGGTACTTTTAGGAAAATTAATGGAACTGTTGGCAATCACGTTTAGCATCATAAACTTGGCGAAAAGGAGACAAATATGATCATGTCTCCTCTCGTGAATGAGGTGTTAAAGGGAAATAAAGATATGGGAGGGGCGGGGGGTAGATGTGGTTAAATTATTGTGTATATGTGAATTGTCACATTTAACCTATAACTACTGTGCATGGCTAATATGTAGTTAATAAACAGAAAAAAGGGGGTGGGGACTTCCACAGTGCACATCCACAGTTCCTGAGGAGGAAGACTTGGCCAGTCTGCATAATGATGGAGCTGGAAGTTGTTGTAAAAAATACTGACACCAGTAGTAGCCCTCCATAATTCAGACATGACTTTTCTGGCCACACACACACACACACACACACACACACACACACACACACACACACACAAGCCAGATCTTGTTACAATTGCAAAGATAAGCAAGTCTGTGAGAGAGAGCCACCTCTGTGGAATACTGACTCCTGGGGCACTTGATGAATTTGCATAGGGCCATGACACTGGCCGACTTTCTCTCTGAGAAAAAGGAACAGTTCAAATGTCTGGAAATAGATAAGCGAGAAACATCTGTCCTGTTGGCCCACACAGGCGGCATCTCCGATAAACCGCTGACGCTCATCGGTTCATATTTTCTTCCATTTCAGAACTGCCCCCAGGTGACTTCAGCCCTGAGTTAATGAATGGGAATGTGGAAGGGAATCCCGGACCTGTCCACCTTGGAAGATGGGCAGGAAATGGCTATGTGCTCTAGAAGGAGCAATCAATCAATCATTGTTTATGTGCAAGTGCATTGCATTGTGACCGGGAAAGAAGCACCCAGCCCTATAAAACCTTAGCTGTTCTTGATTTTTTTTTTTTTTTTTTTGTGGGCATGAACTTCCCTTTGCATAGTTGAGTCCTAGAATTAACTGGGTTACAATAAGACAAGGGAAAATGTTGTTCACATAGTGTATAGCAGTAACGCAACCAAAGTATAAAAGCTTATGCAGCATTATATCTATGCCAGTGCTCATGTAATATCTCTACTCTCCCCAAGACGCTGCTGCGGGCATTTATAACCAAAGAGGAGATCGAAGCTCACGGTTGGAGGCACCCAGCGCGGGCTCCAGAGGTTGTGCTGGGCACAGAGCTGTTAAGCGTTTGTTTGGTGGCCCAGGCTGTTTGCTATATAAAGGAGAGTCGTTCCAGCTAATTTTGTTGGGTTCACCGAGGCTGCTCAGAGGAGCCAAGCGGTTTGGGAACCCCAGCCATTCTTTCCTGGACTGGGTTCATCAGGTAGGGATACAGGGACCCTAGTATGCCGGGCAAAGTATACAAAGACCCCGGAAAGCTCGGCGGGGATGCAGAGACCCCGGGGTGGAATGCCTGGGGGGTGGCGGTGGGGTTTGTAGAGACTCTGGGACGCCTGGCTGGGGTGTCGAGACTTTGGGATGCCTGGCAGGGCCGCAATCGCCCAACCTCTCTGGCTCCCAGGGCGGGGCTCGGGCACCGGGCCAGCTCGCTCGCGCCCGAGGCTTAATAGGGCCGGCAGTCTCCGCCCACTGCACGCCCCCGCGGGCCGGGCTGGGAGTGGGGACAGCGAGCTACCCAGGGCGGACACAGCTCGTCCCGCCTCGCCGGGAGCCTCCTGGGAGCCTGTGGCTCTGACCAAGCGGGGGCGGGAGCCCAGCTGGTGCCCGCCTGCCCCGAGAGCGGCCGGAATGTGACCCACGAGTGTCGGCAACGGAGCACCCCTCGCGTGGCTCCCAGGGTCCCAGTTGCTGCCGGTCGGTCTGGGCGGGTTTGGCTCGGGAGCTGCTGGATTGCTGCGCACCGGACTGGGGCACCCGGGCAGGCCCAGGTAGGAGAGAACTGCACCCTTGGGAAGACGGGGCGGGCAGACCATGCTGCCGCCTTCCCCCTGGCAAATGTCCTTCTTAAGTGACTCGGTAGCCAGCGTGTCAGCGTTCTCGGGGAACTTGCCCAACTTTCTTCAGGTTTGCTCGAGGTACAGGAGTCTGGCCGCGTAAATTGCTCCCAGGCTTTGGTGTCTGGCCAAGCGTAACTAACTTGTAACTAGCTAACAAACCCTCTTAGAGATTTGGGCTCGGAAGAGCAGTCTTAACAAGGCAAGAGGTCAATTCCTTAACACCCTGCTGGTAGATGAACTGCCTCTCCTCCAGACAGATTGACAGATTGATCCTAGGGAATGCAGACACATTGTTTACAAACGTGCCTAGGGCGGGATAGTTTATAGGGCCCCTTACTTTTACTGCCCTTTAGCCTCCCAGCAGTCCTGTGGGTGAGCCACCAGGATCACCTTGTTTTATAGCAGGAGTTTAGGTGCAGGCTATTTTGTTTGAGGACTGGCACCCTCTGAGCTTCAAACCCCTGTGCCTAAAGTCTTGCGCTGGGAGGGAAGCGAGAGAGGCTGTCAGGGAAGACAGGGACACTCCCCTTCCTATTAGGGTGGCTGGCTCTTTGCACTAGATGGGCACATCCCACAATTTAGGCCCCGAGGAACATCCTAGGAACGGAGGCAACAGAATCTAATCAGCTGGGCTTCTCAAGCCACAACAAAGAGGAACTGGAGTCCATCTGTTATTGGAACTGGTGGTACCTGTCACCCTGGCTTAATGCCACTTTTCCGAGAGGTGGATACCCACATGGAACTGAGCTACAGGAGTGAGCCTGGGGCCGGGGACAAGTATTACCTCTCTTCCCACTTACCAAGCTACTGCTCGTATCTTTTCTTCCATCCCTTCTGATTTTATAATGTCCTACCTGTTATATTTTGTTTAATATTATACTCCACATTCTAAACTAACCTCTGAGCTGGGTGGAAGCGCGTGACATCCCTCTGACTGGGGAAGGTACTTGGAGTCTGACTTACTTTTGGTCACGGCTGATTGCTGTTCTGGCGCATAGTTAAGTACTTGCCAGTAGGATCACCATTGCGTGGCCAATACACAGTTCAATAAAGGACGTTTGCTCTAAATTCCCGCACAACCTTGGCAAGGGAAGCCCAAATTTCCCATTACAGGCTTTGCTGAGCCCCTGTGTTGGAACTAGTCATGAAAGTACTCTGTATGCTCCAGAGGCATAAAACATCTTCTGGTACATCGTCTCCTGGTGAGACACTGCTTAATATTAGCATTACTCATTTATCGAACAAACATTTATTGAATGCTACTAATTTGCCAGGCATTGGGGGAAGTACTGGGGGGGGGTGAGAGAAATAAAATAAATGAAAATTCCTGTCTTCTCACATACATGGCCCCTCTTGGCAAGTTAGAGAATATTGGAAAGCTTTCTTCTTCTCCTCCTCCTCCTTCTCCTCCTCCTTCTCCTTTTCCTCCTCTTCCTTTTTTTCTTTCTAAGACAGTACTTTAAATTTTGCCACTTTGCAGAGTGTGTGGGTCTAGGTAGCCTGTGGGATACAGTTAGCATTGCCGATAGAGAGGGCTTGGGAATAGTGGTCATACATACAGCTCAGTGGTTGTACATACAGCTCGTTGGTTCTCCAGGGAATAGCAGGGGTGCTAAGATACAGTCATGGGCCGGCTGCACAAGAGACCCGGGGTAGACTGGAAGCCTGCAGATGGGAGGTGTGAACAGGGAGTGTCTATTCACCCACACAGAGAGTCTATAGAAGGAACATCTGGGTAAGGAGCTGGGCAAAGCTGGACACAGCCATGGCATAGGGTATGACACAGGGAAGAGCGTAGGTCCTCAGAGTCTTGCACTGATGAATCTATAACAAACCTTCCCCTTCAAAGCAGAGACATTGCGGGAGGCCTGACTCACTGGCCATGAGCTGCCCCACAGCGCTACCTGTGTGTCGTGTCGTTAAAAGCTGGCGCTTGGCTTGCATTATTCCCCTCTCTCTGTGTGGTTGTGACGTGATTAGTGATACAGGAGAAGGATCTGCAGTGTTAGCAACTTCGCTCTCCTCTGCTTGCCCGCTGTGGCCTCCGGAAGTGGCAGATTCCTAGCCACACCTGGTACATGGGAGTGGGCAGAGGGTCCCTGCCAAAAAGAGCTGTCACCAAGTGTTGCAAGTCCCCCAGGAATCTTTCCAAATTCCTGGTTACTGTGCTGTCTTCTTGTGTGTGTCCATTGGTAGACGTGTGACAGAGTAAACGAGACGGTTTTCTATCTCATCTGTTTTGGAAAGGATTTATGTGATGGCATTAATTAAAATAGAATCAGAGGGAAGCGAACATGGATCCCACAATGGCTAGAGATGCTTAAAATGACCCGGAGAGCTGCAGCTGTCAGTGTCTTCAAGGCAAATGTGAAATGTTTTGGGGGAAGTAAAGGATTCTGCGTGTGAAGTCAGGTTGAAACTTTCATCTGATTTTCAGTAAAGGGATCGGGAGAGCAAGGCTGAAGCCTCCTGAAGTTACCTGTCCCACAGGTGCAGGTTGGTAGCTACAGTGCAGCTTGGCACTGAGCTGACAGAAAGGGTCCAGAGAGCTCAGCTGTGCACATCTGGCTGCCTCAGTTCAGGTCACCTGAAAGTACAGCAATGACTCCTAGCGGGAGAGAGGTGAATATGAGTTGCTGTTACTTTCAGTCCGGGCTTCTTACCTCACCAATTGATTACCCGACACTTGTGTGTGCAAGTATTTTTAAAGATGATACAGTGCAATTTAGAAAGACTACAGTTTTTACAAACAGCAATATGATGTCTAAATGGAAAGAAAGAATAAAAGCAGTTTGTATTAAACTTACATATTTCAGCATGCCGATGCTTGGGGTGCAGTTGGTACATTTTATTCTTTTGACCCTTTGGAGACCCGCCAGCAGCTCCCAAATAAATACATACGGAGACTTATTATCACTTGTAAATGTCTGGCCTTAGCTTAGCTTGTTTCTAGCTAGCTTTTCTTAACCTAAATGATCCTGTCCACCTTTAGCCTCTGGCCTTCTCTTTATCCTGTATGCCTTTCTTTACTTCTTACTCTGTGAATTGCTGTGTAGCTGGGTGGCTGTCCCCTAGAGCCCTCCTCCTCCTCCTGTCACTCCTTGATCTTCTGTCCCAGAATTCTCCTTCGATTTATTCTCTTTCTGCCCGCTTATCCTTTTCACTGCCTTTCTATTGGCTGTTCAGCTCTTTATCAGACCATTAGGTGTTTTAGGCAGGCAAAGTAACACAGCTTCACAGAGTTAAACAAATGCAACATAAAAGAATGCAACACATCTTTGCATCATTAAAACAAATGTTTCCCAGCATAAACAAACTTAATATTTCCCAACGGTGGGGTAAGGCTATGCAATACCATATATGAGTTGACTACAGAATATTATGTGGGCAAACTCAAGTCTTCAGGGGAACAGGTGAGTTGGTGGCCCCGTGAATACCTTCAACAGGTTCTCCACTCTTAGTCAAGGTCTCAGTGTAGTCAGAGGTGAGACTTCTTAGTTGTTACAGCAGTTAATAATCATCCCTGCGCCGATAATGGAAATTATTGTCAACTCTGCATTTTCTATAAATGTGGATGGAGCCAGGGTTAAGCTCAAAACACTAAATACATTTTCTGTTGCTGCATCTGGGAGACGCCGGGGGGCGGGGAGGGTCATGAAGGTCAGGGGTCAAGTGTTCACGAACTGGACTACCCAAAGTGTCACCTGTCACATCCTACATGTCTCCAGGGACTTGACCTGACTGGGTGAGGCGATAAAGAAAGGACAGACACATATATAGGAAAAAGCTGAGCTTGGGTGGACTGGGCTGGCTGTCTAATGATGGAGAAGCTCATTGCATTGGAAGTTCACAGTGTTTATTATACGTCATTGAACTGACAGGTGGAGTTATTGTATGCAGCTGGAAACAGACGCTGGGTTCATTGTATACAGATAAACAGGGAGGAAGAGTTATTATAAATAGCTGAGCACTGCTCTTGGTAGGATCAGTCTCCAAAGGGGAGCAGTCTTCAGGCTGTAAAGACCCAGAGGGGAGAGAGCCATGATGGATATTTTCCGCATACACTGTCAACATTCATACTTGAACCCAGGAGGGAAGGCTTTGCCATTTACCTAGCCTGGGGAAGGTTCTTCTTTCTTGTGACTCTTAGACATTGGGATCTTGGTGCCAAAGTCAACAATCATTCGGGACTCCACTGTGAGGAGCCTGAGATAGCCCGTGTACTATGATAGTTGTAGGAGTAGCCGGTATAGAAGCAAGCTGACTAGGATGGATTTAGCATCAACTGTAAGGATCATGCATAAAGGGGAAAATGGGAACCAGAACAACGGGCATCATGTATGTGGGTGACGACTGATGGTCACAAAGGACTTCAGGGGTAGATGAAAATGGAAAACCCAGGATGTACCGTTCCTGGTATCTGCGGTTGGTCCGGCTTGTGGAACCGAGCCCCTGGGGCATCTGTGTTCGGCTCTATGTTGCCTCAGCAAAACAGTATAGAAGAGGAAATTATAAAAGTTCTCAGGCAGAATTCTTCATCCTTTGGCTATCTGTAGATCCTCAACTAAGAGTCAGAGCTATCATCACCCCATTGGCCTGGTCTCCATCGATCCTAGTTTCTACTGGCAGTAGCCACGCCTCCATCTCACTTCCCTCCTTTGTCCTTAAACCCATGATGAAATGGGCCGTCTTGTAGCTCTGAGCCTTGCACCGTCAAGTACTGATATTTCACCGTAGCACGGGAAATTTTTTTTTACCTTATCTTCATCTTTATTCACCCTCTGTGATTAGAAAGATGCTCCCTCCCCCTGTCTGTGTGGGTAAATACGCCAGATCCATTTACTCTGGTTGAAAATGGAAGGTCTTGGTGTTCATTGGTGGTTTCCAAGACGTCTCTTTGGTCCCTTCTTGTGTGTGAGGCTTTGCTTGCTTGAAACTTTCTGGTTCCCAAGGTTAGGGCGTCTGTCTGTGGCTCTATGCTACCAATCTCTGTAGAATGGGAACCGTTTAGAGCACACCATGGAGGTATCCAGGTGCCGCTGTGATCGTTCCCACCTTCTCCTTTCTCAGCCCGAGTCTGGGCACTCCTAGATAGAGGGGCTTTCCGGAAGAAGTTAGCGTGGGGGTACTCTATCTTGTCCCGAGGATCTGAGCTTGTGGGCCTTGAAGTTTCCATCTCTCGTGATTGGGAATTACCAGACGATAAGAACATTTACTTAAGATAGCACCACTTAGACTTTCGGCACAGAGACTGAACTGGACAAATGAGAAGTGAATGCCCAACCTGGCACTATGAGATAGCTTCCCTTATGGGGGAGTTCTCTGATGCCTCCCGATTTTCCCTTGGGAGGTCTTGGTGGCTTCCTTCCTTTCCACTCAATGCACATATCTGCCTTTGTTTCAGTATAAAATTAATGACCCCACCACCTAAATCTCCTTGGGTAAAACTGGCCACACCAATGGGACAGACTCACTTGCATGACTGTAGATGTTCTTGGAAACGTACTCATTCTGGATTCAGAATGAAGGACTCCTGGAAGGATAGAATTGTAGAGTAGTTTCTGCAGCTGTGTGTTTTTTTTACCTTCTTGGCCTTCTTGGTCTTAAGTTGGGCAACTCTTGAGAATCTGGTTGAATGCTTATAACAAAGTCGGGGGACATCATCGCTGTCGGCGTAGTTCAATGCCCAAAGCCACTATTCACCGGTTTTCAGTAGACACACAGGCAACGACACTTCATAAGCCGGGGAACATGCTTAAACTCCTGATTTTTCTCAGTTGTGACCAAGTTAGTGGGCACTGAGTTCTCTACGTTGCCACATATTAAATCTACACGCGCGTTTGTATGTCTGGTGTGAGAGGTTGCAAATGTGTGACAAATGCTGTAGCTCTGCGAGGCATTGCTTGAAATGCTAGGCAGGTAGAGATGAGGCCAGAGGCGTGGAATGTGTGCGCTGTGGTTTGAGTGTGATCAGCAGGGTTCACAGGTGGGAAACATAATCTCCAGTGCAGCCGTGTGAGGCAAGACTCATAGGAAACAATTAGGCCTCGAAGGCCCTGTTCCCATGAGCGGATTAATGCGGGTACTGGGGAAAGGGAGTTCATCGTTGCAGGAGCGGGGTTGTTATACAAGTGAGTTCAGCCCTCTCTTGCTTGCTTACTCTTGCCCGTCCACACTCTGCCGTGACGATGCGGCACATGCTGGCTCCTAGACTCCAAGTACTTTTCTGTTCATTTTAAGCGGGTTGGGGTCGGGCGCTTTTGTCACAGCGGTAAACCAAACCAAACCAAAAAGCAGGCAAACAACACGCAGAGAGGCTACAATTGTTACCATCTCCTTTATGGATCTCAGATTTGGAGGTTGCCTCTATCAGGTCCCTGGAAGGAGCAAGAGCTTGTTCTTGCTTTATAACCACAGTCCTGGGTCTCTATTAGGCTTGGCTTCCTTAGAATTTCCTCTAGGATCCCCCAAAGTCCTCTGATTTGTACAGATCTGCTTTGAAACTCATTAGTCCCTGTCTTAATAGGGAGTCTGGTGAGGGCACAAGGATAGGCCCAGTAGAGACTTGACAGTCAGCACTTGCCTCTTGATCATGCTGCGTGTCCTCAGATTCCCTAGAATTCTCTCCCCAACTGTCTGAACTCCAATTTCATGGCTGCCCAAGGCTGCCCTGAGAGGCCTTGGGGAACGCCAATCCCAATATGCCGGCCTTAGGGGCCCGGGCAGGGCTGTAAAAGAAGGGAATGCACCCACATATGTAGACGAGTGTGCCAAATTGCGTGTATGCTCAGAGCCCCTCTTAATGTCGAGAGCTGGCTGGAGGAGTTTGAGAGTAATTTGACACAGTATGGACCACTGTTGGGCCTGCTCTGGGCAGATCCCACTATGGGGCCGACCGACACAGCCTGTTTGTTCTCGAACACTGAGTACCCAGTCCCAGGACACGCTTCCTCCAGCAGCAGTTAGCTGTTTCCTCTGCGGTGCACTCACCCAGTGCATGTTCTCAGTACATCTGTGGGAGCCTGTGCCTAGCTTCTGCCCTGGAAGGCAGGATCCACAGTGTGGGGAATTCCTCAGGAAGAGGCGGAGAATTCAAGTTCCTGGGAAATTTCTCATTCATAAGAAATTATCTAGAATGGCCACACACAAGAAAAATACCCCCTTCAGGCCTGTCCGTGCTTGCCTTGAGGGAAATGCTGGGGCCCTCGGCTGTCACATTGTCCGTGGCTGCATTGGACAAGGTAGATCTCGCAGAAGGAGAGAAAGGCACACTCGATGCCTTCCCCTTCTGGCCCTACTGATAGCACACTCTCACTCACTGCTAGCTCATCCGCCCTTCACAGCTTTTGTCCTGGCTGTGTCCCTTCTTGGGAAGGGGCTATTATTGGGAATCAGTAATGCTCATATGGCTCCTTGTGCTTGTCTTCTGTTTTTCATAGTTTAGCTCACATTTCTGCTTCTCAGTCTAGTGCTACGTTAGGCTGTCTCTGTTACTCTAAGGTTGCCCTAACAGAACCCTGGAGGCAGGATAATCTGATAGTTTATCTAGGTTGGAAGGCCAGGTGGCTGCATCTGCTGGGAGCCTCATGGTGCCTCCTAACATGGCAAATCCAGGGAAAGACAAGAGGGTGGAAGAGATTTGAGTAAGAGGTGGACCGGCCTTGAAACAGCCTGCTCTGCTCATGTAGACTTCAAAGATGGAGGGTCGGGATTCCTTCCCTCCCTCCGTCCTCTCTTCTACTAGTTTTTAATCACACACCTGGCGTATGTAAGTTGTGAAGGGTGGACCCCTGCTCACAAGAATGGGGCTGGGGATGGTTTGCCCTGGCCTGTCTTCTCCTATCGCAAGCAGAGAAGACTAATCGCCAGGGTGATAGCTGAGCTGCCTGAACTGTCGGACACACCCGTGTGTTGTACTATGGAGATGTGTGTCGCTGTGAAGAAGGGGTGTCTTTGAGGGCCCAAGGCCAGTTTCTGATCAGAATCAGCTCAGAGCTGCCATAAGACTCACGGCTGCTGCTAAAGAGAATTGAAGAGATGCATTCCGGGGGCAGAATGTCACAGGTACTTTGAGGACCAGCAGCCAAGATATCGGCTGTGAAGGATGAGTAGATTGACATCACCCAGGCTGGGGTGAGCCAGGCCATGTGAGCTAGAGGCAGGAGGCTTGTTTGCCTGAAGAAGTAAGGAGGGCTGTTGGCTCGGGCAGGAGCAGTGATGTCTTGGTTGGAGTGCTGGGGTTTCCTGTATGGCTAAGAATTAGGAAGAGTGTGTGCAAGGCACTTGGGGCTTCAGGTGTGAAAAGGAAGGTGGAGTGAGAGGAGGTAGGAATAAATAGTGCGTCTTCTTTGCAGGAGGTCCCTAGATTTACCCATTTGTCAGCCTCCCCCCCCCTTCCCCTTTTATGAGCAGCCCATCGCCCATACTTTCTCTGTGGCTGCCATTAGCTATAGTCACATTTGAGGCTCCTGGGGATTGGGGCAGGGCATAGTCTTGTGGCCAGGGGCTCAAAGGTCTTGAGTGTTCCCTTTGATTTTGTGCTGTAATAGGGACCCATGATAATTCGATACTGTGCCTCTGACAGCTGAATGCGGAGCTGTGTTCTGTCTCCCCAGGCGCGACTAATAGTTTGGGATTTAGTGTTATTTAGTCTACGGAAATGTTTAGCATCGATTTGGTCGGTCCAGTGTCAGTGGTGGACATTAAAAGGCACCACTAGCTTTTTTGTGGCTTAAGGAAATGACTCAGCATGAAAAAAAAAAAAAAAAAAAAAAGACTCCAAAATACTAGAGGAAACTGCAGAAATAAATAAGGAGCAACCACAAACAGCTTTTGGGGAATTGCTTTAAATGCTGTAATATGGGGGGGGGGAGGGGCAGGCATATGGATGTGTTTGGTTTAAGGAAAAAAAATTTTTAAAAAAAGCTAATATGCCTGCTCTTAAAAGAGATTTTTCCATGATTTTTATTCTCCAGGCAAGTGGCAAGTCCTTAGCCCCGTTTTCCATCAGTACTAGAGACAGTCATCCCCAGAGAGATTTTTATCAATTTCTGAGTTCCTCTGACTGGCAGAATGCACAGTACATGCATTTAACCCTTTTGTGTGTCAAGTGCCGTATTCCTGACTCCTTTGACTTGTTTCCCCAAAAGTATTCTGTCCTAAAGGACTTTTTCATGAGTATATGATACCTTTAGACTCGTCTTGGGATGCTGGTGGCTCTGCGGGCCCTTTCTACCCATCCCTTCAATATACTTATTCTCTCTTCTTCTTCTTCAGGTAGACACGCCCCTTAAAGATGACCCTTCCCTCCTGAGAAGCAGGACCACTCAAATAGGAAGCAGACTTCCTCAAGGTAATAGTCTGGGTCACCGCAGGGTTTTTGAAGACTATTCTTCAAAAGCCACCCAAGCCTTCTATCCTCTCTGCTGCCGAGGCCTTGGGACAGCTCCCCCTGTATGCAAACATGTTTGTTGGCACATTTTTGCTTGGGGGGGGCAGTGTGTGTTTGTTTTTTAGCAGATTAATTCTTTTTTTAATTTTTAATTTTTTATGGATGCACAGAATTCGGACACAGTGAGAGGGTATGGATGGGACTGGAGGACACAGTGCTTGGCAGAGTAAGACAAGGGCCATATGATCTCACTCACACATGTGTGGAAGGAAGTTCAAGCAGTTGAGAAGAAAAGAGCCGGGATGCTAGAGGCTGGGAAGGGCAGGGAGGAGGGCCAGAGGGAAGGCAGGGGGGTGGATAGAGGGAGGTGCTGTCAGAGTTTTGAGGGAGGCTGTGACCTAAGGTCCCTACTGTCCCTTGGCAGGTCACTGCTGACCTTGTTCAGCAGGCCATCTGATTGAAGTGAGTTCCCAGTTCCGGGGGGGAGGGGGTAGGGGGAGGGGAGCTCTCTCAGAGCATTCCAGCCTCTTTCCTCCCACACTCAGCTTCCTAGTCTCTATTGGAAAGAACACTCCTGGCCTCCTCCTCAGGGGCCCAGGGCTGGTGTTGGCGCAGGCAGCTTACTCCAGTCACATCAGAGCAGTCTGTGTCTCAGCCCAGCCTACCTACCTGTGGTGTGATTCCCCCTGGCCTCCCCCACCGCTAGGGAATCTGGCCATCAGCATCAGCTACCCTCAGACTCTCTCCCCTGACCCCCCCCACCCCCAACCCCACTCATCTGGGCACCCACATCATCCCTCCCATCTCCAGCTTATTTTCCACACAGTGGTTAAAAATGTGTACGGAAAATCAGAACCTAGGCATACCCCCACTCCACTGTGTAAAATCTTCAAGTGCCTTTCTGCCACCTGCAAATTAAAGGCCAGCCCCTCACTGGACCTCCAGCATGTGACACCATACTTGAAACCCAGACGTCCTTCATAAAACCTCAAGGGATGGATGAGAAAAGAGTGACAAATATAATAGCTGAATCCTCAGTGCAACACTGAGCGATGCCCAGAGCATACCATGAAACTCCTTGCTGGGGGTTGGGGGACCAAACAACAAAAACTGCCTTTAATTTTATGACACACGAAATGTGTCTATATTCTTACCTGTTGCCGTCAGTAACTGTGAAACATAAAGTCTTTTAACTAAGATGACATTGCTGGGAACTAAACATCTGAAGGACCTGAGGATTAGCTGGAAAACGTTCTACTTGAGAAATTACTTTGGAAAGCATACAAACGTTACAACATGCTTTTTAGATGAAGATTGATGGGCGGTGGGGCAGGTTTTATCTGAACCTATAAGACACCCATTCAGTTCTTGGGGGCTGTAACCCCAGCGTCAGGGCGTTGATTGTTAAGCCTGGCTTAAGCCTTGAGATCTACCCTAAAGTAGTAAGACTGCATTCCTTACATACCCTGTAACTCAATCCCTCACCATGAAAATTGGTCATCTACCACAATGTAGGTTAATAGTGCTATTGCTGCGTTTAAACTACATTCACATTATGAAATAAAATAGGAGGCCTTGAAGCTTGTGGCCTGGCTTCTTCCCTCCTTCTGTGAGCACATGGGAGTGTGCGTCAAGTCTTAGAAAAGAAAGGGTTGAATTGAACACTTCCCTGTACCAAGTCCTAGCTATTCACTTGGTATTCTTACTATCAACAAGAGGTTTATAAATAAACCACGAGGATACTGCTCGTTGCTGGTTCGCCCAGGTACAAGATCAGGCTTGTTTGGCTATTGGGCAGAAGAAGAAAAAATAGGCCAAGCTGCCTTTTTTATAGCGTGTGGCTCTCAAGCTGGAATTCTAGGTTAACTGCAGATGAATCATCCTTAACTATTTCAAGTCCACAGCCAATGACCTAAGACCAGTTTCTTCCCTAGGGTTTTACCAAGGGGTAGAGGGATAGGAGGACAAGTTTTCCATCTACCCCTACCGTGCTCTGGGGAAAAGTAAAATCCAAAGCAGGATTGGGGGGGGGGGAACCTCTGTCCTTGCAGCAGCTGAGTCCTTATCTGTCAACAGGACCTGGGGGGGGCGGTTGAGGTTCTACAACAAGCTGGGTTGGGTGTTAAATGAATGAGTGATCAGAGGGGGTGGTGGGGGCTGTAAAACAAGTACTTGAGTTGACAGCAACTGTGCTCCCTAGAAAAAACAACAAATGTTGGGTGTGTGCCGACGCAAACCTATAATCCCACCACCAAGCAAGCTAGGCGGGAGAGGCATGAGTCTGAGGTCAGGGCAACTGAACCTCTAAGACAAACAGGCAAAACAAAATACCCAAACAGACAAACAGACACCACCCAAAATCAGCACTTAACCCCTCACGTCCACCGGCAACAAAATAACCCCAAGGCCAAGACCTAGACTGAACATTTCAGGGCCGCCAGTTAAGACTATCCAAGTCCACTTTCCCCACAGAGGGTGGTACACAGGATAAGCTCAGTTTCTGCGCCCCGGTCCCCCCATGTGACAATTGGAGCTGAAAACGGCATCCGTATCTGTCACCGAGTGCTGCGATGAAGGCAGAATGAGTTAGCTGCCTCATGGAAACCATGTATAGCAAAAGTCCGCCTCTGCCGTTATCACAAACACCCACATTGTGATGACAAGCTTTGATAGAAGATTTCCAGTTTCCATTCATGCCCTTTTTCTACCCACGGCCCTGATGAACAATCCGTATGTTGAAGCCCAGGCCCACACTAAGTGCAGGGCAAGCAAACAGGAATAATGACCCACAGACTGGCTTACAGGGGAAGTGATTGTATCTATATTCATTCCCCCAGATCATGTGCCTGCGGGATGAGACCCACCCCCACCCCCAACAAGGGTGAGGGAAGCGGGGGGGGGGGGGGCTGAGGAGAGGAAGGAGGATGTTAAGAAACAACTGCGCTCTGCAACACATTCAGAAGACAGGTGCCCAGAAGTGCATCTGGGAAGACTGGGCTGACAGTGGCCATCTGGACCTCGTTTAACGTGGAGCCCCAGTCCTAACCTAAGGTCACGCCGGCGAGGCCTTCGGAGCCACTCAGACGAGCCATGGTGCCTTTTTCCCTTGTGAAAAGATTCATACATGTTCATCACAGACCTTCTGGGAAGAAATAGAATCCCCAGAGAAGGGGCAATCCTCCCAGAACACAAGAATAAACGAAGCTTTAATATGTTGATATGATTTATTTTCGTCATTTTGGGAGTACATCTCCATGTATTGTACCGGCAATCGGATGTGGGGCTTTTTCAGTGGAGACTTGACCGGAGTGTGGGGAAATAGATTCTGGCTGGGAACAAATCTACAAAAGGAGAGGCAGCTGCTTTGGGTTAGGTGAATCCACTCACCCCTACGCCTATTGGAGATTGGTTCCACAACCGCTGTAGAAATTGCATACAAAGGTGCTCAAACCCCTCTGCATCCGTCCATGTACTTTTTTATCTTCTCTGGGCTAATTAATGATATCCATTAAAATGTCAGTCATGCCCACAGTTGTTCTCCTGTGTTTAGAGACCGACAACATCTTAAAAGCCATGCGTCTTGAGCACAGGAGCACAGTCTTTCAAATCGTTTAGCGTGGCAGTTGGTTGGATGTGTAGATGTAGCTCCCCATGGGTGTAGAGGTCTGGCATAGTCTATGTTTGTAAACTGGAATCTGAGACTGGGAGTGTATTTGGGGGAAGATGTTGGAAATGCTTTAAATCTTAATTTGTCTCCAGTTCTGTCACACACACACACACACACACACACACACACACACACACACACACACTTCCTACCTAGAAGTGTAACATAACTTGGAACGGTGAGGAAGGGTCTTCCACGTGACCCGGGGGTTATGGGTGAGAACAGGTGGGGCTCAGGAAACCTAGAGATTTGCTGGCTTAATAACACTCTGCTTCCCTTCCCTTCTGTTTCTCCAGGAGAATATGAAAGTTCTACTCAGGCTCCTCTGTCTCATCGTCCCTCTGCTCTCACTGGAGACCGGTGAGTCTGATGTTTACTCCAGGCAGACATGAGGGAGAGCACAGGACAGCGTTCTTCCAACCGGCCCCATAACTGCTGCCTGAAAGTCCTTTTTCCATACCGTCATCTCTCATTCTATGCCTTGTATTTTGGGGAAGCCAGGCCGGTGAGATTAAGAGCCCAGGGTCATGTCTCTAGATTTGGGATAAGAGCTCCCGTCTAGGGCAGGCCTGCTTATCCTGGAATAGGTGTCCAGCACCATCGTGGACCCATACATTCGTATTTGTATTCTCTTCCAGTTTCTTCATATTCTCTTTCTCGTCTTCATCTCTTGCCACAAGTTTATTGAGCCTTTACAGTGCGTCCCCTGGTAGGCACCGAAACTGTAGCAGCAAATAATCCATATGGAAACATGGCATTGGCAGGTGACATTCTTACTGGGGGAGACAGAGCACATTGCATAAGTCATGTAGCGGTGTAGATAAGGTAGTCAGAAGCACTAGGAAAACAAGGGATATTTGCCAGATGGGAATAAACAGCAGGTTCAGTTGTCCATACTGTACTGGCCACAGAAAAAATATCTCAACTGAAAGGCGGATTTTGAGTAGACCCTGAAGGAGGGAGCAAAGATTCGCTGAAGATCCCAGGCTAAGGGAGGTACGTGTCCTTGGCAGCATGTGCCCAGAGGTTAAAAGCAGCCAGTGTGCGAGCTGAGAGACCGAATGAGGTCACTGAGTGTGGTAAGAGAAGATATCAAGAACGGAGGCCTGACTTCCTGTAGGGTGACTGACGGTCAAGGTTTCAGTGGTCAGAGAACTAGTAGAAGTCCGACCTGAAATTTGGAGCCACGTAGAGAACGCGTCTCAGGGTGAGCGAGTATAACCGGAACATGTTCAGGGTAGATGCCTCAAGTGAGGTGGAGTCCGAGAGCTATTAGATCTAGCAACTTAAAAGTGTGTGCACGTGGCTTCAGGGATGACTCTGCGTTGGATAACCAGTAATGGGGCTCAGTGCTGGGTGAAGCCATGTCCCTCCTCTCCCACCAGTCACTGTAGCTCTTTGACTAGGGATAGGACCCCATGAAATTTCCCCCTTCCAAGTTAATATGTCCCTTGATGTTGCTGTTGCACTGGTCTTGTTTATAAAGCCATTTCTAAGAGAGATTGCTTCCCAGCAAACTTCCTGGTACTCTGGCTCTTGTAAATCTTTCCACCCCTTTTCCTTGATGTTCTCTGAGCCATAGAAACAGGAACTGTGATATGGATGTGTCTTTTGGGGCTGGGCCCCTCACTACAATTTGTTGATCCATACATTGTGTCCGGCTGTGATTTTCTGTGGTGGTCTCCCTTTTCTGTAAAGAGGCTTCTTTGACGAGGGGTATGGTAGCTACGTTTACCTGTCAGTATAAGCTTGTGCACTCGAATGTGGTGAGGAATTATGCTGTCCCAGCAAAATGGATTTATTCTCATTATTTTGTGCAATTTTGAAACAAATGAAGAAGTTACAAGGCAAAAACTACTTACGTGCTTTTTTAAAAAAAAAATCTATTTAAATTACCTGTTTGCACAATTATAAACCCAGCGTTTTGTTTTCTGACTTATTTACTGGCATTCCTTACTTCTTTGTGTGGTTATGAGTTGCTGTCTCGGTTGGACTTGTTTTATAGGAGAGTCCGGTTTCTGAGGAATTGTCCTAATCTTGGTTGATCTGTAAATGCCTTCATTTGTCCATCACTTTGAAATGGTATCTCACTTCCTCCTGGCCGTGGTAGATTCTGAGAAACAATTACACCTAACGAAGAACTGCCGAGCACGAGATAACTGTTTCTCACTGCATTCAAAGTTCCGTTTCTTTCTACGATTGGACTCAGAAGTACTAAGTAGATGTGTCCTCTTAGTTTATTCTTGTACTTATTAAGCTCATCGGATGTGTAGATTCATGTGGGTTTTTGTGTGTGTGGGGGGGGGGGAGACAATATTTCTTCGTGTATTTTTACTGACCCTCCTTTTCGTCCTCGGATTCCCATTATATACATGTGGGTTTGCTCTCAGAGCCGCGGAAGACCCTCAGTTGGTTTATTGTTGTTTACAAGTTTCTTTTGCTGTGGACACACATTCAGCCGTTTACAGTGACACAATCTTTGCATTTGTTATGGGATTCCCCCCTCACACACACACCAGATTGCAGTTGCTTCTTTTCATGCTTTTCCCTCCTCTTCTTCTTAGTTGATATTTACTTGGTCAGACATTGCTGCCATGTAGTTCTTTTATATTTTAGAAATAGTTTTTCGGTAGTGTTGTATATATCTTAAAAGGTGTTGTCTTTGTAGAGTAAATGCCACGCACCCACCCCCCGAAACATTTTCCATTGGAAGCGTTGTTCGCCCTGTTAATGGATCCTACTTTCCTACTTCCTTTTGTGGTATTTTGCAGAAAATTGGGCATTTTTGATAGCGTAATGTATAATTCTGGAAATCAGATGTCTCCCTTATGTGTACCCATAGTTTGTTGTTATTCCTGAATTTTTTAAAAAGATTAATTCTCTCTGGTGTGTGTGTGTGTGTGTGTGAGAGAGAGAGAGAGAGAGAGAGAGAGAGAGAGAGAGAGAGAGAGAGAGAGAGAGAGCGCCCATAGAGTCCAGAAGGGAATGTTGGATCTCTTGGAAGTGGGCTCACAGGTGTTTGTGATGTCTGACATTGGTGCTGGGATCTGAATTCTGGCTCTCTGATAGGGCAGTAAGCACTCTTGGTCACTGAGCTGTCATTCCAATCCGTTGTTACCAGTTTTTACAGTTTAAAACATTTTTGTTGTCTCTGTTCATTTGTTTGATGCATTTCCTGAACCAGCCTTGTCAAGTCTGTTATACAGAGCCTGAAATCACTGGTAAGTTCAGTATGGTTAACGACTGGATGATCTGTGGCTGAGGGACAGCCTTAGCCTTCACTTTCTGCCCATGACCTCACAGTTATTCAGATGTGAATCTGAAAGCTTTTCTGGGCCCTGCTGAGCAGCGATGCATATGTAAGGTGTGCTTCTCATTCTTCAGGAATATGCCAGAACATTGAGATCTCCCTTTAGGCTGTGGCTCTTGTGTTCTAGCCTGTGTTGTAGCTTTTATTAAATAGTTGCTGCCTTATTAAATAATAGCTAACACTGAGTTTGTTTACCAAACACCCCGGGGAAAGCACTCTTGCTAAGGATCTCTGGGTCAGGTCAGTAGCCTGGGACATTTGAGAAACTGCTGCTTTTCAGGGTTACTAGTATGCATACGTCCTGGCTTTCATGATTTTAGGGTTCTGAGGGGAGGGGGATGGTGGCTAATTCACAAAGCAGTAAAGCATGCTGTTCCAGTTTTATCAGCGACTTTCTGATTGTTCCTCCTCCTCCTGTTCCTTCCTCTCTCCTTCCTCCTCCTCTCCTTAATGAATGCGCCTCTGAATGTTGGAAGCCTTTGATTTAGAAACAAAATAATCCAGTCCTTTCTTTCTTGAAATTTAAGGATGAATGGTTTACAGAAACCTTCCTTAAGCTCCTTTTTCTTTACAGTATGCAGTTTGGTGAGATGGCTGTTTCCTATCATTTACTTTCTACTTTTGTCAAAAATCACTGAATGTATTTGTGTGTGTTATGTCTGCATCTCTGTTCTGTTCCGTGACATATCTATCTTTACTCCGATGACGTAGTTGGGGCAACTCTATAAAGCTGTGCAGGTTTATAAGAGTTTGGTCATCTGTTTTGTGGTACCCAGGGATACAGAACCAAGTGCTTTGAGCTTGTTGGCCAAGAACCACCTCTGGGCTGCATCTGCAGCCCCTACAGCGAGTCTTTAACTCGAGCAGGGCAACTCCCCTTTTCTTTTCCTCCTAAAGTCAAATTTGCTTAGACTACTTCTATGTGGATTTTAAAATCTGTTTGTCGATTTGCATGAAGTGTTCCGATCATATTTTTATTGAGGTTAAACTGAATATAAATATGTTTGGAGAAGGAGGAACACAACAAACTCAATTCTTCTTCTCTGTGATCACCGCCTTTATCCACTTGCTTAGAGGTTTCTTAATTTACTGAAGCAAAATTTTGAAATTTTCACTCCGTGATTTTATTTTATAGATTTGTCCTTAGTTTTAACTACGTTTTGGTGCTACTGGAATCTGGGTTTTCCTTTCCTTTTCTTCCGGTCCCTCCTCTCCCCTCCCTCCCCTCTCTTCTTCCCCCCTTCCCTTCCCCCTTCCCTCCCTCCCTCCGTCCTTCCTTCCTTTCTTTCTCTCTCTCCTTTTTGTTTTTTTGAGACAGGGTTTCACTGTGTAGCCCTGGCTGTCCTGAAACTTGCTTGGTAGACCAGGATGGCTTTGAACTCACACAGACCCTCCTGCCTCTGCCTTCCAAGTGCTGGGATTAAAGGCATGTGCCACCACCTGGCCTTTTTATTTACCTTTTTTTTGGGGGGGGGGATATGTGGGTTCTTAAAGCTCAGTTTTGAAATACTTTTGTCAGTGTGTGAAAATTAAGCATACTTAATTTTGCCTATGCCTATTATATTCCATAACTGATAATGCTCACGTCTTTTGCGTATTTCATAACCATTTTAGCATAGATGCAAATAAAAGCTTTCTTTTTCAATTTTTTAGGGTAAATATGGCTTAGTGTTTCTGGAATATCATTCCAGATCTCAAATATATGTTCTGTATGATTCAATTAGGTGAAATATTTTAAAGATACACATCTGTATTCATAGTGTAGTTTGGTTTGTGGTTTTATTATAATGTGATGTGTTTGGGTAACAGATTCATGTTGATATCACATGTGAGTTTGGAGGTATTGATGTCTCTTTAAAATTTGGGAGGACTTGTTCAAAACTGACATCGCCTTTTATACTGTGAAGCCATTCAGTCTAGAAACATTCTCTGTTGGAATGTTTTAGCTGCAAATTCGATTCCAAGAAATTCAGCTAAATAGAAGGTACAGGACAATTTAGGCTACCTGTTGCTTCTTGAAGGCATTCCAATAGGTTGTGCCTTTCAAAAATTTTAGCCATTTCATTCATGAAGTTGAACACATTATAATAAAGTTGTCTAAAACCCCTCTTGCCCTTTTAAAACCCTTTCAATGAGACTTCTTTTACCTCTTGAATAGAGATTTACTTTGTGGTGGTTTTGTTTGTCCCACTTTGGGAATCTTTAATTTTCCTCTACTTCATTCATGTCTTTCCAGATGGTACTTACTATCTACTGCTGGACTAACCAAGTTTCGCATTTTCTAAACAGTATGGCAACTTAACGTTTTGAGGCGCCATTCCCACCACGGAAGGCCGTGCCTGGGAGGCCCCACTCATTCCGAGGCTTTGTGGGCAATTCGCCTCCCAGAGTCTGCTTTTCGCGTCACGCCTGACCTAGAGCTGTGCCTCCACACCCCCTCATTACCCACCTTTCACACACAGAGCCAACGTGATTCCTGCGGTGAGACCATGCACAGCCAGGTGGCGCACGACTGGACACAGCGCTGTCTTTTATGGTATAAAAATATGACTAACGGGGACACTCAGATTTCAAAAGAAACCCTGAGAGTACAGGCACTGAACTAAGTGGGGAAGCCCTGTAGGCAGCCACGAGAGGTCCCTGAGGGAAGCTGCAGAGGATGAAACCCAGCCCGTGTGGTACATTTTCCCGATTAGTACCTGATGCGTGAGGGCCCAGCCCGTGGTAACTCTGTGATTGTACAGGTGCTCATGGCAAGAGATGGTCTTGAATTCCGAGCATTGTTAGAACTTTAAAGGCCTTCTTGTGAATTCTTACAGAGGGGCTAAAAGCAGTCTGCGTCATAACAAGTCAGGATCACTTGAAAGCCAGGGCTTGAACGTTAGGGTTTGAAGGTTAAATCCACCCCGCCCCCCACAGGCTCATGGGTTAAGCACCTCAAATCATACAGTTTCATATATGAATAAAATGCTTACCGTAGCATTTTTATCTGGTATTACCTTCTTCTTTTTGAAGGACTTCTTTGGCCGTTTCTAGAGAGTACAGACCTTTCTGGTGATGGTTTCTTAGAGATTTCCAAATCTTTTCTGTAATTTTGAAAGACATTTTTACTGCAATTGCAGCTGGAAAATACTTTTTTTCTCTAGAAGGAAGGTCATTTACCCTTTTGTTTTTGTCATAATAGCTGTTCCTTTAAAAAAAAAAAAGGCTGTCTAACCAGACAGTAAGATTTTCTTTTTGTCACTGGGGTTAATATGATCATGAGGCAGTTGCTGTGATTTTTCTTCATCTTTTATGTTGTTTGTTTATTTGTTTGTTTGAGACAGGGTTTCTCTGTGTAGCCCTGGCTCTTCTGGAACTGGCTCTATAGACCAGGGTGGCCTTGAACTCAGACTCACCTGCCTCTGCTGGGATTAAAGGTGTGCGCCACCTGGCTCAGAGATTTATTTAATTATATATTTTATGTGTGAGTGTTCTAGCTGCATGTACCTCTGCTCACCAGAAGAGGGCATCAGATCCTATTATAGAATGTTGTGAGGCACCAAGTGGTTGCTAGAAATTCACCCCAGGTCCTCTGGAGGAACTCTCAGCCTCTGAGCCATCTTCAAAGCCACATCTTGCCTTTCCTTAGAGTTCATTGTGTCTCTGGGGCCCAAACTCATTTTATCACATCTTGAGAAATTTCAGCCTGTGTTTCAAATATGTTTTCCGTATACCCCACTCTTACAGAAATTCACACTAGACATCTTCCGGTTGCCTGAAGCTATCTGATGTCCTGCTTGCTAACCTTCCTCCCCACACATCACTTTGCTCAACCTTCAATGTTTTCTAACGTCGTGTCTTCAGGGTTTCTTAATTTTTTTTTTTTTCCCCTCAGTGTATTTTCAACTCGACAACGCATTTTTTTTTTTTTTTTTTGGGCTAGGTTTTTTTTCTTAATTGTTTTGTGCCTCTGCTCACTACGCCTCATGCCTCCTTCAGCATCTTGAGTAAATAGGAGGCAGCGTCGTGCCATGCCTTGAACAGTGTTGTCTCCTGTGCTTGTCCATATGTTAGCTGTTTGCATGGGAGCCTACATTCAGTCCTTACTGTTCGCCGCTGTACAGAAGTGGCTGTCTCCTCCATCATTCCTGCCTTTAGCTAATAAGTAAGAAGTAAGTAAGAATAAGTAAGAAGAACCTGGCCAAGGTACAGCCCACAGGGACCGTGTGGCAGAGCTGGAGATGAACGTAAATTGTCCAAACCCTGAAGACTGTGCTCTTAACCACAGAGCCGTGAACTATAGATAGGGCAGGAGCTGGCATCTCCACTAACCAATGAGTTCAGATGCTGATATTACATTAAGAAATACCGGGGATTTCCTCTTATGGAAATCGCTTCCCTTTTCTCTCTTTTAAAGATGAATGTAAGGAGTATTTGCACAAGATAATTTTATTTTCATCTGCAAATGAAATTGATATCCGTGACTGTCCTCTTACCTTGAATGAAAAGCATGGCGCTGTAATCTGGTATAAAAATGACAGCAAGACACCCATATCCATGGAGCTGGGCTCCAGGATTCATCAGCAAAAAGAGCGGCTTTGGTTTGTTCCTGCCAAGATGGAGGACTCTGGACACTACTACTGTGTAGCAAGGTACGGAAAGAATCAACGCATTGCCGACGGATGTCCTCGGCCTCTAGGACAGTTAAGGGCAGAAAAGTCACTGTAATAATGATGAACTTCCATATTTTACTTCACTTTAGAAACTCAACCCACTGTCTCAGAACTAAAGTAACTGTGAAGGTTTTAGAAAATGACCCCGGCCTGTGTTACAACGCACAAGCTACCTTCAGACAGCGTCTCCACATCGCAGGGGATGGAAGTCTCGTATGCCCTTATCTGGACTTCTTTAAAGATGAGAAGAACCAGTTACCCAAAGTTCAGTGGTATAAGGTAATTTCATCTTAAGTATGATGTTTTACTTTTACGCAGTTTTCTCTTCGGAACAGTAGTAAGATGTATCCGCAAAATCTTTCCCATGTTGTCTATACGGCATAAGCCTCTGGGCTTGAGATTTTGAAGGATAATTACCCTCCCCCCTTCCCCAAATGAACAACTCACTCTTTCAGGTAGGGACTGCCAAGGCGAACAACTGGAGATTTCGAAGTGTAATCATCCTTCTTCCCCCCAAGTCCCCCAAACCAACAAGTCACATTTTTTTCAGTTACGGATTTGCCAAGGTGGAAAACGGGCGCTCCTATTCTGGTTAGAGTTACAGACTTTCCCAAACGCTTCTGTTTCTGCCTCCTTGTCTAGGATTGCAAACCATTGCCTCTTGACAACATAAACTTCTTTGGAGCCAAAAATAAACTAATGGTGAGGAACGTGACCGAAGAACACGGAGGGAACTATACTTGCCACGTGTCCTACACATACCTGGGGACACCGTACCCAGTCACCCGAGTGATAGAATTTATCACAATAGGTGAGTCGGAGCTCCTACCCCAGGGGTTTGCGTGTGGGACAGCCCGAAGACCACCGTTTTTTGGTATTACTTCCTTGTTCACAAAGGAACTAAATATAGGAATTGGTCAGTGACTCACAAGGTTGAGTAGTCACACAAACCGAGATGGGGAGAAGAAGGGTTTGTTTTGGCGTGCGGTCTCAGAGAGAAAGCAGCTGGTCACGGTGAGGACGGTATGGCAGCTCCAGAGTGAGGCTGGCCCAGCAGCCAGGAAGAAGCGTGACGATATTTCATGGGCACACTGGAAGGAGAGAGGGAGGGAGAGAGGGAGGGAGAGAGGGAGGGAGAGAGGGAGGTCCTTAAGTGGGTCAGGCTATAAAGCCTTAAGACCCACCCCCAGTAACATCCTGTCTCCAGCTTTGCCTCATCTTCTAGAACCTTCCTGAATATCAGAACCAGCTGGGGACCAGATGTTCAAACACACGAGCCCGTGGGGACATTTCCCCTCCAAACCACAACACAACGTCCCCTGGTTCTGATTTCAGTTAATAAATACTGCGTGAATATTTTTCATTCCTGCTCCAGATGCAATGCTAATTAGACCAACACATTATAAGTTATGCTTTCTAAGGGGTCTTGTAGAATTCTTAGATGTCACAGAAGGTGGGTCCTCCGGAGAGCTCTAGTGGGTGTATGTGGCCATTGGAGAGCCGGCCCTGGGGAGTCTGACTCAGCAGCAGTCTCTGACGCTGGGGAAGTAGCTTAGTGGTGGGGCAATTGCCGAGCACATGTGATGCTTTGGGTTCGATTCCCCAGTACTGCAGGAGACAAACCTAGTTACCAGTACAAGGGGGCAGTCGCTGGTGTGAGTGTGAGAGCCCCACACATTTGGAGATGTCACGTACCCAGAATGCACTTGCTTTTAGCTCCGTCACTTAAACTCTGAGAATCTTTCCTCTTCTATAAGAAGATGGTGTGGCCTGTAAGGCTTTGAGATGATTAGAGATGAGGCAGGCTCAGCAAAGCGGGCCTCGCTGCAGAAGAGGGTGGCAGTTAACAGGTGCGCAATGACTGCTCTTAATGTTAGCAGGGCTGTACAGCACATTAAAACCCGTTTCATAGTGAGATGAACCAAAGTGCACCTTTCACAAGTTACCTGGGAAGGGTAGAATAGTCAACCTTTCTGCAAATGGTAGCTTCCAGTAGTAAGATGCTAACCTAACCAGGACCTCTTTTTTTTGGGGTAGGGAAGGAAGGAGACCATCTGTCAGTACTTAAGCACACTGTTGTGACTATCCCAGGCAAACCCAGAATAGGACCAACATGCGCCAATCCCCCAGTGTCGTATGCCTTCCTCTTTCAAAGACTGATTTCATTTAATAAACATGTATCCCTTACTTGGCCCTGTAAGCGTCAGCCGGATCGATCCTTCAGTGGTCATTCACTGAGCATGTGCTGTCCTATCTAAAGGAAAGACGGGGATCCAACCTCCTGTCCACCTGCCCTTTATTTGTTTACATTCCTATGGGGGAGTACTGGCATGTGAGTCCGTTCCTAATTCTCCCTTCTCGGCCACGGATCAGCCCTTGGAACCAGTCTCGGAAAGAAGGAGACTAATTTTTAGAGTTTTTAGTTTTTAAAGTTTCTGTCTATTTAAATAAATTATGACAAGTTGCTTGTCACTCGCCAGTAGCTGCTGGGTTAGCAGCACGCTAACCCAGCACATCGGGTCCAGCACTGGCCACCTCTGCCTCAGCTACTGCCTCTCCTGCTCTGCAGGGAGAGGGGAGCCCTCCAACTCCCAGGGTCCTGTCCACATAGGTGCTGTGTATAGAATAAATTCTTCTTCGTATTTGTGCGGTCTCAGTAGAGACGTTTGTATTCATTTCTCCTTTTTTTTCTTTTCTCATTCGTGTGTGTGTGTGTGTGTGTGTGTGTGTGTGTGCATGCACGCTCACACATATGTAAGAGTGCAGGTGTGCCTGTGTATGCAGATGTGTAGAGGCTGAAGGACACCTGTATAGTCCAGCTGCATGGTGTGTGTGGCCCTACCTTGCTTGGGGTGTTGAGTTTCCTGGTTTCAGGGGGCTCTTCTTCTCCTGCTGCACTTGGGCTGTCGAGTGCTGGCCCCGGTTGGGATTCGGTGTGGCAAAAGGCTGAAGAGCTCTGTGTGCTTCCTCCTTGCAGGCAGCAACAAGAATGATAGGCCTGTGATTGTGAGCCCGCGGAATGAGACCCTAGAGGTAGCCCCAGGTAAGCTGGCTTCAGCAGGGTGTGGAGGAGTCATCACTCTGGATTTCACCGAATACACCTATGGAGGGACGGTGGCACAAATTATGCACTTAAATGATTTTTGTAAATGTTTTGAATTCATTTCTTAAATTCGTTTTTTTTTTTTTTTAAAGTTTTTACCTCTTATGATGAAAATCTAGCCATATCCAGTTTCCCTACTCTTGGTTTCCAATAGAGTCTTATTGCCTTTGCAAACAGCAGCCGCATGCTAAGGATAAAATGCCTAGGAATACAGTATGTAATTTAACTGATGGGCACAGAATTTTTTATCGTTGGAACTAAACTTTCAGCCAGAGGGGTAAGACTATATATATGTCAAAGAGACGATAGTTATTCTGAAACAAAAAATGCTTTTTCAGGTTTAGTCAGTTTTGTTTTTTTTTTTAACATATCAAGAGGACAGATCCATCTTGATCACCACAGTGATGGATGCCACTTCCTGCCATGTGTGGAGTCAGTCTTTAAAACCCCATGTGAAGCTGGGTGTGCTGTGCACGGCAGGGTTGTGAGCTCCGACTACACATGGCCTCTGTCTTAGAACAAAAAGAAGATGGGGTGAGCCAGTCAGTAAAGTGCTTGTGAGGACCTGAGTTTGGTGTGCAACATCCTCATGCACAGCTGGGTGTGGTGGCGTACGTTTGTAGTCTGAGTGCTGGGAGGCGGAGACGAGCACAGACCTGCCGCTGCATGGCCAGCCAGTCTGGGATAATAAGTGAGTTCTATCTACCAAGTGAGAAACCCATCTCAAAGGATGTGGGTTCTGTTCCTGAGGATGTCCAAGATAGTTGTTCAGCCTCCATGCACATGTGTATGCAGATATACCTGAACTCTTACACACACACACACACACACACACACACACACACACACACACACACTAGAAACCAGGAAGGAGGATGAGTATAAGTATACATACTTACTTTTACTGAAGTAAAAAAAAAATGAGAATTTAATCATATAATGAAGATACCATAAATTAGAGAAGAAACTTAATATCAACCAATGGTCTGGAATTGAATTCAATTACTTGAATTAAAATTTTATGTTCAAGATAGCCCAGAGGATCAAGCACTCCATCCTGGGTAGCTTGGCGATGAAAATACAAACACCCTAAATATATACCTGACTTGGTAGTAGAGAAGGGTTTTAGAAAAAAAAAAAAAACAAGAAGAATTAGTTTTTATAAATTCTGATCATGAAAAGACAAAAGATCTATGTCAAAAAAAAATCATAAGCAAAAATAAAGGCAGCTAGCCTGGGAGGCTTCCTGGGAAGATTTTTTTTTGTTTTATTTTGTTTTGTTTTTAAGATTTTTATTTATCTATTATGTATACAGTGTTCTGGCTACATGCATTCCAGAAGTCAGCACCAGATCTCATTACAGATGGCTGGGAGCCATCATGTGGTTGCCGGGAATTGAACTCAGGACCTCTGGAAGAGCAGCCAGTGCTCTTAACCTCTGAGCCATCTCTCCAGCCCCCTGGGACGTTTTTATATGAAGGTTGGGTGTCTTTGATCAATGAAGAGCAGCTAGACACCTGTGATCTGCTTATTCTGAGAAAGGAGCTAAATAATGGATCCTACACGCAAGGAGCAGTGAGGGTCCAGTGAATACTAAGCTGGGAAAAGTGTGTTAATTCACCAGTAGTTCAAGAATACGGGTAGGTTGGGGTTCTGGAGAGATGGCTCGGTGGTTAAGAGTGCTGGCCGTTCTTGCAGAGGACCTGGGTTCGATTCCCAGCACCCCCATGGCGGTTCATAATGATCTCTGGTTCCAGGGGATCCAACATCCTCTTGTGGCCTCTGTGGGCACCAGATACATGTGAGGTGCACAGATACGTGTACAGGCAAAATGCACATGCATACACAATAAATAAGAAAACAGTGCAGGTGGGCTGGCCTGTGATGGACAGCTCATCTAGTGTACTCTAGGCCCTCAGTCCCTGCTCTGGAGCCAACCATGAAGACAGAAAACCTTAGTGAAAGTTGAACTTGATTTTTCTTCTCTCACCAAGCAGTGCTTAGTGAACACCCCTTTGTGTCCCGGGTTTGAGTGAAATAATGGCTGCATCCGCTTCTGGAAGGTGGGTGGGCAGGTGCAGCCTTACACAATTGGAGTTTCACTTTGGAACTCTATCTTGGGAGGACTAGAGGCACCACAAGATTAACAACATTGTTATTGCCTAGTTACATTATGAAATGCTAAGTCGTCTTCATACCAGCATGAGGGCTGATCACAGAGGCTGAAGTTCCCAGGTCACAGCAATTACAAAGTAATAGACAATGATATCCCATTTGATGTGTGAACACCAAGACCGAGATGGAGATAAAGTAACAAACAGTGGCACTCTCTGGGTGGGTGATGAGGATTAGGGACATTTTCCTCCTTCACCTTGCTTTTCTGCACTTTAAAATGTTTATTCGGTATCCATGTATAAATATAGACAGATTGCAGTAAAGGCCAATAGAATGCCTTCATTGCCTTTCAGGGTCCAGGATACAACTGGTCTGCAATGTCACGGGCCAGGCCACCGACCTTGTCTACTGGAAGTGGAATGGATCAGAAATTGAGGAGAATGATCCATTCCTAGTAGAAGACTACCAACTGTGAGTTTGCCAGTCAATTTCAGTGTTAAATTCTGGGCCACACCTGTTGTAGTTTTGAGTCTAATCCCGAGGGCTAGCCGGTGCTGGGCCATTCCTAGCTGCACGCTGTCCACTTAGAGCTTTGCCAAGTATTTCATACAAAAATGATGAGAACTTGCATTGTTGTTGTTGCTGTTAGAAGTAATGTGTCGCTGTACAAATGTCACACCACGTAAAAGCCATTTTCCTACGTTACGTTTTGCGCTTACGTTACGTTTTGCGCTGCTACAGCATTGTAATGAGGCGCTCTTCACGTGCACTGAGTCCTCTGGAAAGACGTGGAAGGAATCAAGAATCAGCCCCTCTGCCTCAGACTGTAAGGGCTGGATAAAGATCTCCTGGGTTATTAACCCCTCTTTCCCTTCGTCCCTTCATAAGCAGTGTCCTCTGCCATCTGCCCCAGTCCTATACAGAACACTTAAGGCTGTGTGTGTGTGTGTGTGTGTGTGTGTGTGAGAGAGAGAGAGAGAGAGAGAGAGAGAGAGTGTGTGTGTTTCTCCACACAAGCTGGTAATTTTAACTTGATTCCTTTGCTACTGAGTGCTCCTGACTTTGAGGTTATACAATGTCTGATTTGACTTGTCAACAGATGAATCTACATGATCAAGGGAAGTGATTAACTATACCCGTGGGTCTTATTCTTTGTTGCTGCGTCTCCTCTATTTTAATTACTCCCCTTCTCGCTCTCTCTCTCTCTCAAACAGTGTGGAGCGCCCTTCAGCCAGAAGAAAGCATACACTCATTACAACACTTAATATTTCAGTAGTCCAAAGTCATTTCTATCGGCATCCATTTACCTGTTTCGTGAAGAACTCAAATATTATAGAGTCGGCACATGTCAAATTAATATATCCAGGTACGTAACAGACGTTCGTGTAGCCTCACAGATTTCTGTGCTATTTCCTTTCAGAGTATGTATTCCCCATCCCTCGTCGGCTGTGACTTCTCAACGTGATTTTGCTTCCTGGCCTCAATTCTGTGTCTACTGGGAAGCTTTCCCACCACCTGGCCTGATCTGGCTCCACCTCTCTGCTTCGGTCTGGGGGTCTGGGTGCCACTTCGGAGGCATCGTGTATTCTGCGCACAGGAACTCTTATTCGTCTGTCTGTTGTTTTGGCTGAAAGTTAGTTCTGCAATGATGCCAGCCATTTCTCTTACAGATTATTCTTTTTCCAGGGCTGGTGGCTACCTATATTTGCTTTGTATCCGCTACCTCCTGGGCATTTTTAAGCCCATGACCACACAAGATGGTTGGTTACACAAGGAAAGCCTGAATATCCTGTTTATAGCAAAGATGTGTGAGGCCATTGGTTTTCAAGAATTTGTATAGTCAAAAAGCTAGTGCTGGAAATAATTGTGAATGTTGTTTAAATAGTCTATAGTATTTAAAACAGGGCTCAAAACAAAACAAAAAACCAGGGCATGTGTACAGATATAATTGAAATAGAGAATAAGTAAATGAAACAGAAAAGTAAAGCCATTGAGTATTTAGATATTTCCTGGATGCTACCCATGCCCTGACAGTAAAAAGACGCTTTCGTTGTCTTTCCTCTTCTGGATTCTTCTCCACCTTCCTTCCTTCCTTTCTCCTTCCCTCCCTCTCTCCCTCCTCCCTCCCTCCCTCCCTCCCTTCCTTCCTCGTAACCTATCCCTTCTCCCCTCTCTCTCCCGTAACCCTCTTCTTTGGGTGAATGTGGAATGTGAAATCTCCCTTCCTGTCGTCCGTCTGTCTTTAGTTTCTTCCTAACAGATGCCTTTATCCCAGGGAATCATTCAGGCTTTGGAGGAGGGGAGCGTGGCTTCTCCTGTTGTGCCATAGTGAACTCTGTCTCTATGGCTTCAGCAGGGTTTCTCTGTGTGTGACGTGACGCTTTCGGTGGAAATGTCCAAGAGTGAACTTTCATTTTCTGTGGACTTGGGCTGCATTGCCGGCTCATTAGTGTCCGTCTGTACAGTGACAATGAATGAACAGACAATTGGGTCTGGGTGCAAAGTGGTTCCCAAGTTCACGTTCTTTGCAGTAAAGACATTCAAATGGTCGTGACCAAAGTTCTCGTTCTTTTTGGTTCTAATAATCTTCTCCTCTGGTTTTGTTGTAGTCCCTGATTTCAAGAATTACATCATTGGGACCTTTGTCATCTTAACGGCTACAATCATATGCTGTGTTTTCATCTATAAAATCTTCAAAGTTGACATTGTGCTTTGGTACAGGGATGCTTGCTCTGATTTTCTCCCCCCAAAAGGTATAATTTTATACTTCACAAAATGTTTCCTCTGGACAGTTAGAAGATGACTTATAGCATTTTTACTGAAGGCTTTTTAATGATACTGGCTTACATTTAGTTTCATAACTGATAAACCTCGATGCCATTCACTTCCAAGTTACTACCCTAGCTCCCATATTGGCAGGATACACAGGTGTTTAGAACATCTGTTTGCAAGTTAGTTACCCAGAATCCATAGTTAAAGGGCCTGCTCTATGCTGTATGTGCCCTATGGATCCGTGACCCCCACTCAAATGAAAGAAAGATTTCCACACCTGAGGAAGGGTCCCTCCCTTTTTCTCTTTAATACCACAGAATCATATCAAACTAATACAGAGAAAAGAGTAAGTAGATTGTTGGCTTGGGGTATTGAGAGAATTGGGTAAGAAAAAGATGATAAGAGTATGGTCGTATTGAAAGTATGTAGGGTATCATTACATGCTGTGTGAAGACCATTTTGTCTCACAATAAATAGAGAGCATTTTAAAAGGTGTTGTGGGGGAGAGGAGAAAAGAAGGGGTCATGAGGGTGAGTGTGATCTGGGTATCTTGTACACATCTATGGAAATGTCACAATGAAACTCATAATTTTTTTAGAGTTAGTGGATATTAATGAAAACAGATGCTGATGTTAAAAAAAAAACCACCTCAACATGTAATCTTTTTGTTGAAGGAAAGTAAAAAGCTTTTCGAGTGTAGCAAGCAATATTCTATAGGTAAAGTCAAATGTACGAGTTCAAGGAGAAATAGGCACAATTTGCAAGTTGCTAATGTTCTAAGAGGCCGTGGCTGTCTGCACAAGATCCAGCCAGTCAACATCCCAGCAGAGAGGGTGAGCAGCTCAAGAATCCCAGCCCTAGCTGAGGAGTGATTTGTAGCTGCTGGTTGCTGGGGGCAGTCAGCTTTCTTTGATGCTGTGGCCCCTGGTAGGCTGCTCATGTTCCAGAAGATGGCTCTAGGGTGATGCTGGTGCAAAGAGCTCTAATGTGCTTAGTGGGATATAAGTAAGGGTCAGGAAGTTAGGAGGGGGAAATGTTCAGAGGAGGCGTCTGGAGGGAGCTGGGGAGGGTCAGTGAGAGGTAGATATCAAAGCACACTCTGCACGCGTGTGAAACTCATAAGGAGTGAATGAAATATATTTTTGAAACAGGAAAAGGTTGCTCATATGTTTTTAAAGTTAATGTTAGAGAATATAAAATATTCCATTATTTAGATTATATTTTTATACATTCAAAAGAGGGACATGATAGATTTTTGTTGGTAGTCAAGGGTTACAACCTGATTACTATTGGTCTTAGTTAAGGTTCCTGTTACGGTGAGAAATGTTGTGACCAAAAACGACCTGGCAAGGTAAGAGTGTACCTTACAGCTTGTAGTTGGAGGTCAGAGCAGGAACTCAAGGAGGAACCCAGAGGCAGGAACTGAAGCAGAGGTCAGGAGGAGAGCTGCTTAGTGGTTTGCTCCCCATGGTTTGCTCGGCCTGCTTTGTTACACCATTCAGGACCACCCTCCCCCACCAATCATCAATCAAGAAAATTCTCTACAGGCTTGCTCACAAACTAACCTAGTAAATGTTCTCAGCCGAGGTTCAGCCTTCTCAAATGACTAGCTTGTGTGGACAAGAACAATCAACCTGGACACTATTTAATATATCTGAGGGGGAAAATCAAATGTGCACTTAAGGATGTGTGAGAATATCATGCTTTAAAAATAAGGAGTGTGGATACAAAAAATTGCAAATTACAATGATATTGAATTCAAAGTGGCATTAGATGTGCAGTATTGGACTTATTTTCCCCCCATGGTTACAATTGTATTTTGTTTCTTCTTTAGCTTCAGATGGAAAGGCCTATGATGCGTATATTCTTTATCCTAAGACCTTCAGAGAGGGACCATCTTCAAACTTAGATACTTTTGTGTTTAAACTGTTGCCAGAAGTCTTGGAGGGGCAGTTTGGATACAAGTTGTTCATTTGTGGAAGGGATGACTATGCTGGAGAAGGTATGGAAATGCTTCTTGTGATGTTAGCTGCTGAGTTCTGATTCTAGAGGGATGGCTCATTGGGCACATTTGAAGACTTTTAAAAATTTCTGCAATGGTGTATGATATTAAATTTTCTATTAGTTCATTGGGTCACCGTTTAACTGATTTTTATTCTTTTGGAAAATTTACTGACTAGTTAGGTATAACAGCCACTTTGCAACTGCTTTACTAAGCCAGGAGTATTATAGAGTCAATGATTTAGCAAGACATTTTTAAAATTTCTGACTGAGTGTTTTCTTAGTCCCAAGCAAAGTCTATCTTTGCTGAGCTAGTTTTTAAGGTGGTCTGTAAAGTGAAAATGTCTTTGGATCTCAAGTGAGGCTAGGGGAAAGAAACAGTAGCCATAGAACAGAGATTTCGAAGAGCTTTCTGAGGGCTGAGTTCAGAATGAATGTCTAAATGGCGGCTGGCCTGACTACATTGTGCGCTCTGTCTTGTAGACACTATCGAGGTTACTAATGAATACGTAAAGAAAAGCAGGAGGCTGATTATCATTTTAATGAGAGACATGGGAGGCTTCAGCTGGCTGAGTCACTCATCCGAAGAGCAGATAGCTATATACAACGCTCTAGTCCGGGAAGGAATTAAAGTTGTCCTGCTGGAGTTGGAGAAAATCCAAGACTATGAGAAAATGCCAGAATCTATTCAATTCATTAAGCGGAAACACGGAGCCATTTGCTGGTCAGGGGACTTCAAAGAGAGAACACAGCATGCAAAGACCAGGTTCTGGAAAAACGTAAGATACCACATGCCTGCCCCACGGCAATCATCACTGTCCAGACACCATTTACTAACCCAGGATCCTGTGCTAGCCACTAAGGAGAAGCTGCAGGCGGAGACTCACTTACCAATCGGCTAGTGTGGCTGAAGCGGACCAAGAACTTTGGGATGCCTCCTGTCACAAGACGCTGAAGCTAGGCTGTGCCGCCCAGTGACGTGTACTGTCATAAAAACACACTAGCGTAGTCCCTTATCCCCCAGGTCACCTGGAATCATATTGTTCAGGGGATAGGACTTGGTGACAGTAGTGGGCTAGGACAGTTCAGAGCGAGCGTTTGGGAAGCTGCTCAGGGAAGCCGCTCTGGATGCTTGCTTGCCAACTGTTGAGGCAGTGAATTGGGAGGATCAAGGTTCAAGGAGTGGGCCTCATCTGTGGGCGGTTTAACTAAATTCTGTGCAGCCTCACAACAGGACTGTGGTTGTCCGAGGACACTTTGGGGGTCACTGGTAAAGAAGTGATTCCCCCAAGACCTTGGAAGGCATAACTAACTTCCTTGCGTTTTTCCAGACACCTCGACCGCCAAGTTTCAAAGACTAAACTTTATTTTGTAGACCTTGGAGACCGTCGTTTCAACAAAGGAACCCTCTAGGGTTCTCTCCACAGCTGTTAAGCGTAGAAGGAAGCCACCTACAAGTTTCTTCTGTTCGCGTGTCCACCCTGGAATGGCTGCTGAATCGCCTGTACCTGTGCACTTTAGTCATTGCTTCTCTGGAAATGCAGCTTTGCCCTGCTCCCAGCTCTGCCACAAGCACAGCCCCAGCGTGAGTGGGAGCCTACACCCCCACGCACTCTGCTTACCTCACCCGCTGGAGTGCAAGCGCAGATGCTGAAGCCTACACAGCCTTCCTCCCCATGGTGTCCCCTGCCAGGGCCCTCTCCTGCCCCTCACCATCCACCATGTCACTGCAGCACAGCCTCAGGAGACAGTGCCTCTGCTCTCTGCTCACCTCTGTGTTTGCTGAGCTTCCCACTCCCTGTGACTAGAATTCGCTCTTTCGTTTTCTTCACCTGACAAGGGATTTGCCCACGTTCAAAGTTTATTTCAGCGCTAAAATCCTCAAGTGCCTAATCTCTCCTTCCTCTAAGTCTTGGTCACCTCCTGTCCTGCCGGGACATTGCTGCCTGCTGCTGGTTACCTTAGAAGGGGACTGCTTTGCTGGCAGCAATCAGTCTACCCTGAGGAGGAGGTGGTAGTAGTAGTAGGTGTCCTTCTCTGTCCTTCACTGCTTTCTGGAATGTGAACACGGCATAGGTTAGCCAAGGCCTTTATTTTAAAATGCTCTTGGTTTAATTGTATTTACAATTTGCAATTATTCTATTTTTATATATAGATCAGGGACACTGACTCATTTAACACGATCACTCTTTTAACTCTACTGGACCTGGGCCTTGAACTTGAACTTTCTGGTTTCTATCCCTGTGCTCCAACTTTTTAATTTCACATCCGTCACTGTCCGCTCACCCTTACTCAGTCCTCCTGGGAGAAGATGTGAGTGTTTTCATAGGAAGCAACCAAGTTTGGGAATATTTCTGCAGAAGGAACAAACGCAGTCCTTTTCGGTGCAGGGAGGAATTTCAACATGATGTTTTTATTTTCAAAGTCCCTAAAGGTCAGCATTTCTTCTTCAAAAATGAAAGCAAATTGGTTTCTGTGGTACAGAGGTTTCCTGTTTGTTTGTTTTTTTTACTTGATGACTGTCTCCAGAATGATCCTGATAGTTCTGGAAGATTGCAAAGCCAGGTTCACATGCCAAGAAGAAACCCACAGTTTTAAGGGTTGTATGAACACGGATATCCTTCTGTCTTTTATTTTTGAACATCTGCACTGGGTGAGCACAAATATTATCTAAAAAGCATCTTCTCACCTACATAGAGATAAACAAGTCCCACAGTTTGGGATTTTGACTCTATTTTCAACTTCTTTTTGTTCTGGATCCAACCCGAATGGATGGGTCACTGGATTGCTGGGTCGGAGAAAGGAAGGCTGTCCCAGATGGCAGCCAGATCGGGTTTTTTTTTTTTTTTTTTGGTCAGTTATCCAGGAAATATATTGGCATCCATGTATATTATGAGTGAATTAGAGCTGGTGGGAAACTTGGCCAGAAAGTATAATGAGAGGGCCACAAATAGTGTGACACCAAGATCTGTGATGGGGATAAGAGCAGAGGCCAGGCCTGAGCCAAGAAAGACCCTGGATGGAATGGTAGCATCATACCCGGTCCCCAGGGGAGGGTGAAGAGGCTGAATCCTCATATCCAGGCAGTGGGGGCTCCCTTTGACTTAACCCTCCTCCTCCCCAGAAGTATCTGACTTAAGCTATAGCTCATGACTTCCCCATTGCGATGATTTCACTGTGCTTTCTTACGGTGTTTTAAAAAGGCCAACCAAGTGTTGCAGAAGTTTGCACATGCAACAATGTATTAATTACCAGTGTTTAAAACTGGTTTAGCAGAATGTACATTTTTCTCCCTCCTGCCTTTTGAATTTTACTTATGATAGGAAAAATATGAGCCATTTTAATGACTTTTTAAATAAATTATATTTATACTGATCTATAATGAAGGTTTTTTTTTTATTAAAATAAAACTCGATTTTATAATTCTCCAGCAGATGCCAAATGTTATGTATCATAAACCAGCAAATATATGTGCAGTGTGTATTATGGATCAATAGACTCAACTTGTTTTCCAATAAATCAAGCCCTCCATTGAATATCGTTAAAAATCTGTTTCGCTGTTTGTCCTTTCTTCAGCTTACTCATGTTTCAAGGCCTCATATAAAGGACCATGCCTTTTGCAGGATGTTCTTCTGGGGTAGGGGAATAGAGATCTGTGCTTGTTAACTTTTATGTCAGCTTAACACAAGCTAGAGTCATGGGCAGATAGGAAGCTTCAGTTGAGAAAAATGCATCCATAAGATCAGGCTGTAGGCAACCCTATAAACCATTTTCTTAATTAGTGATTGATGGGCCCAGCCCATAGTGGGTGTTTCCACCCCTGAGCTGGTGGCCCTGGGTTCTATAAGAAAGCGGACTGAGCAAGCCAATAAGCAGCCCCTCCATGGCCTCTGCATCAGCTCCTGCCTCCAGGTTCCTGTCCTGTTTGGTTTCTGTCCTCATCGCTGCTTTAATGATGGACAGTGATCTGCAAGCGTGTGATGGGAGATGTCACTCTGTAAATACGTTTCTCTTATTGGTTAATGAATAAAGCACCGTTGGCCAATAGGAGAGCAAGATAAGTGGGACTAGGAGATGCGGAGGAAAGAGGAAATAGGAGGTAGGAGTCAAGATGGAAGACAGAGAGAGAAGAACGCCATCCCCTCCCTCCGGTAAGATGAGAACACGTGGAAGTACTTAGATTAATAGAAATGGGTTAATAATTGAGACAGATAGCCGATAAGAAACTAGTAGCTGGCCAACAAAATTATATCTAATACAGAGCCTCTGTGTGTATTATTTGAGGCTGGTGTGGCAGAGGGACCAGGCCGGCGGGGGGAAAACCTACTCATAACAAACGTGAACAAAATACACTCTGTCCTTCCAAGGTGGCTTTGGCCACGTGTTCATCACAACAATAGTAATTTTAAGACAGGGTCTGAGGTCCAGAAAGCCCTGGTTTTCCGTATGTAGTGCTATCTGTTCCTCTGTTTATGGAGTGGATTGAGGGCAAGGCTGTTGCTCAGTGGTAGACCAGTTACCTAGCATATGGGAGCTTGATCCCCAGCACAGCACTAAACTGATCAGTAAACAAATATAATTCATATATTCTGTTACTGTTATCTTTATTGTTATCATTATTGCCCCTTTACCTTTCATGCTTCAGGCAAACATCCATGCGTTTTCTCCCTGACAGGAGCAAGGCATCTAAAAGGAATGCAGTAAAGTTTGCAGTCTGGGGACTGGAGAACTTACCTTCCCCAAATTTTCCACCCAAAGAAACCGGTGCTCCCGCATGCAATGTGTTAGCTCAGGTCTAATAATAAGTAGCCTCTCTTCATCAAATGCCATTCCCTGCTTATTTTGAACTAGCTTCTCGTGGAGGCAGAGGCCGCTGGAATTATTTCTTCATAAAAGCGTTGCCTGCTTTAAAAGACCTGAGTTGTGAATTCCTGACCACTCATAATTCTGATTGAGGGCAAAGCACCCAGCTGCTTTGAACCAACCCAGGTTTGTTGACTGTGGTAAGACTTCATATGAGGAGCATCTCCATCCAGTATCGGGGACAGAATTCCTAAATATCTCCTCTGAATTTTAGCAGCTAGCGATTGGTACATTTGAAGGGTCCAGACAGTTTTTCATTTTCACTAAAATGAGTTGCAGAAATGGATCCCTGCAACAAGAACACACCGGAGGGAGAGGAAACCATACACAAATAAACAGCATACAGGAGGGAGGGGGCAGGGGAACTAGGGGTGTGATCATCTGTGTTTTATAAACAGGATTAAGGACTCCCCGTGTGTTGGGGAGAGGTGAGCGTTTGTATGCCCGCCCGGATACCTTTTACAGAAGGAAAACATGGCGGGAAATGGATGACACTATCAGAAGTGAGCACTACCTAGTCTTCCCAACAAAGACACTCTCCTCTTTCCCACGGCTGCTGAGCAAGGCTTGGCAGATTCGAGAGCCTAATGCCTGTGCATCCATGCACCTTAACCATGAAGATGAAACACCACCACTGCCTCTCTGAAATGTGGAGCTGCTAGACCAGTTGGGCCTGTATTACTAGACTGGGGCTGGGAGGATCCTGTTGACTCCTGCTCTGAGCTCAGCCTCCTGGGAGCCATGTTTACTCAACCATTTTAAGGACCTTTTACCTAGAAGTGATCCCGAGTCAAGAGTCCTTTGGGCTTTGTTTCCTGGTGTAGGAAGCATCTAGGGGTTCATGGATTTTTCTGTCACTCAGCGAGCCTTGAGACTTCCCTGAATAACAGGGGTTGCCTGTTTCCAGCTCACTTGGGAGCTGTTTCTGCCTGGCTCCTGCCTTTTTTTTTTTTTTTTTTTTTTTTTTTTTTGGTTGGCTGAGCCTGAGTCAGATACAGCTCCCTGTTTACTTGAGGTACAAAGTGACTGCCTCTCTTGAACACTTTTAATAGTTAAGCAGAGTTCCCCATTCTGCTTGATTGCTTCTGAAGCTCCGAGTTCCCCTTTCGATTAGATTCACAGACTAATCTCCAGACTCTAAAATGAACTGCAAAAACTAAATGCCAAGGAAACAAAATGGCCAATCAAGGAAAGGAAACGCAAACGGGCAGTAAGTATTTTCTCAAGTGCTCAACATCAGGGAAATGCAAATTAAAACTACTTTGAGATACAGTCTCACCTCAGTCAGAACAGCTGTCATCAGCAAATCTGACAAGAAAGGTTGGACAGAACTTGAAGAAGAACCTTATTCACCAGTGCTGGGAATGCAAGTTAATAGAGTCATCACAGAAATCAGTTTGGAGGTTCCTAATATTTTAAAAAATGGAACTGTTATTTGACCCAGCTATTTCATTTCAGGGCATTGGTAGAGAACCCCACGCCTTTCCACAGAGATAGTTGCACCCCAGAGTTTATTACTGCTCCGTACACTATAGGATGGAAACGGGGCCAACCTAGTTATCCATCAACAAGTGGGCAGATAATAAATACGTAGTCTGTATTTAAAAAAAAAAAATCCCAATCAGCTCTAGATAAAAATGAAGTCACAGGAAAATGGATTGATTCAGACAGACGTGTGTGAGTGTGTATGTGTATGTGTCTGTATGTGAGTGTGTGTCTGTGTGTGTTGGAGTGTGTGTGGGGGTGTGTGTATGTGTCTGTGAGTGTTTGATTGTGTGGTGTGTGTGTGTGAGTGTGTATGTGTGGTGTGTGGTATGTGTGTGTGAGTATGTATGTGTCTGTGTGTGTTTGAGTGTGTGTGTGTGGTGTGCATATATGTATGTGTGTGAGTGTGTATGTGTCTGTGTGTGTTTGTGTGGTGTGTGTGTGAGTATGTGAGTGTGTATGTGTGTGTTTGAGTGTGTGGTGTGTTTGAGTGTGTGGTGTGTGTGGTGTGTGTGTGTGCATGTGCCCAAACAAGTTTTAGGGGAGGTGAAATGACGGAATGTCTCACCTCTCCTGCTCTCAGGATTTGGGCCCACAGGCACCTTCCCCCTTCTGCAGCTTGGCCTGTCACCATCCCCTCCTCTAGCCAGGCTGCCACGCCACATCTAGCAACAAGTCTGCTGATTGCTCAGCAGCATCGGGGTCTCGAGGTGGACCAGTCATCCCACAAGTTCTCTGCCACCGGTGCCCCAGCACATCCTGCGGGCAGGACAAATTGTAGGTCCACGGCTTTGTGGCTGGGTTGGTGTCCCAGCCCCTCAAGTGGAAGGAAGCCTTGACGGTCACAGACGATGTCTGGTTCAGGCTCTATATCTAGAAATTTTCTCTGGGGTCACCCTCATAGATTCCAGAGAGTTCCCATTGCACAAGTTTCTACCTTGTCCTCCAAGTGTCCCCCAATTTCCATCATCTCTCCCAATACTCTCTTCCTCCATTCCTACCCCCAACCTGATCCCTCCTGTTCCCATCACCACCTGTCCCCAGTGCACCTGAGATGATGAAGATAACAATAATAACTAAATAACCAAATAACTAAAATTAAGTTAAAATCAAAGGTTGAAAGTCAAGGTCTTGCTGTAAATATGTTTCTCATACTGGTTAATGAATAAAGCACTGTCGGCCAATAGGAAAGCAAGATAGGCGGGACTAGGAGACAAAGAGGATTCCGGAAGTAGTAGGGAGGAGATTCAAGATGGAGGACAGGGAGAGCAGAACGCCGACCACTCTCTCCGGTAAGATGAGACCACATGGAAATACTTAGATTAATAGAAATGGGTTAATGTTTAAGACAGAGCTAGCCGATAAGAAATGCTAGTAACAGGCCAACAGCTTTATATGTAATACAGCGGCTCTGGGATCAGGTCGGTGGGAAAACAAACTCCCAAAAGTTATCCTCTGACTTCTACATGTGTACCATGTCATGTGCACACACACACATACACACACACACACACACACACACACACACACGCACGCACATCTATACATACATGCATGCGCATCTGTATACATACAAAAAAACTTAGCCCAAATCTTTGTTTATGCTATTATATTTGAAGAATTCTCTGTACGTTATTAAGGCTGCCAAATAGATGGTTTTCTGTTTCTGTTGGCCATCTAGACCACCCCCCCCCAGCTTTTAAATATACACAGCCTAAACGGCAAACCACCCTTCCTAAAATAGCTTGTTCCCCTCCCTGATAATTCACTTCACGAGGTTGCAGAAAGACACGGGCTAACTAACTACATTCTGCAGAGACTTTGCACTACTCTCTCTCACACACAGGGCGTCAGTGGGAACGAGTGCTCGTCTGGAGGTCATTGCAGATTCCATGATCAAAAACAATATCCTTTGAAATGAACACTCCTTCACAGATTAAGTATTAATGTGTCTTAAAAACTTTACGTAGAAGTCCCTGGCCTTTGGGACAGCCTTTGCGCCCTGTTCATGCCAACCCCCACTGGTGTAGAAGCATGCTGAGACAGGAGGCAGGCACTCTGACCCCTAGGTAACTAGCTGCCACCCACTTTCTCCAGGTGGCACCGAGGAGGGGTAAATGAGAGCCCTTTTATTTTTGATGAGGAAATGCCAGAGCTGGTTTGAAAACATGGCCAATGAGCAGCAAGAGTCAAAAAGGATCTGGGGCATTAATGGCAGAGCTGGGCGCAACCAAAATATACCGTCGGCTTCCGGGCACTGTGACTGAGTGTCACCGGCTGATGGCTCCCTGCTGTCCAGTCTTGAAGGACCAGGGGCACCGGCTAAAGGTGAGGGTCCTGAAGACTCCTCTGCACCTCTAACTCTGGTTTCTTGTTCTGGAGATCAGGGTCATCGAGGAATCACAGAGACATTAGACACACGACCATCGTTCCTCTTTCTACAGGACCCAGAGAATGGCACAGGGATCCACAAGTGAAGCCACACAGCACGGCTTCCTTTTTCTACTGGCGGACGTGATTTGCTAACAGACTTCAGTTTGGAGTGGGGTCTCTTGGGGGCAGTGTATTCCTTCAAGCACAGGCTGGAGAAACTCCGAATGTGTGTGTGCATGGGTGTGAGTGTAAGCATAACTTAGGATCCAGACTTTAGGATCTGCTCCCATGTGTGGTTTGAGGCTCTCCAGATTTCATATAAGTTAGACTGAAATTGAGAAAGAGCTGAGACATCACTACAGATCCAAAACGTGTCTCTAGATGTAAACCTCCACTGTCGCCAGCAAAGCCCAGCTGCGTCACCTATTTCTTAACCTGACTGGGACCCGGGGACCCTGGGACCCTGCCTCCCACTGAGAGTTTTTCACAAGGGATTTTCTTGATTTTCCAGGGTGCATGTTTGGAAAGTGCATGCTGTAAGTGAGTGAACCAATTTCACAAGCATTTAGGTTCAAAAAAGACCCCCAACCCCAACATGGGTATCTGTTGACAGTTTGATTGACAGATCAACTGAGGCTTTCCCCCAGGCCCTGATGCATGGAGAAGAACATAGCTCCTTTTCTAAACCAGGACTACACTTGGCTGAGCCAGTAGTGGCCTGGGGCCAGGGCCCCGCGGGGGGGGGGGGAAGCTGTGGCCTCAGATCCTGAGAACCCACAGTATGGAGCTATTGGTTATCAGTACCAAGGCTGCTGTGTGCTCCATCTGTAACGATCTTGAGATACCCTGTGTCCCCCTTGTGCAACATTGTTTGGTGAGCCTCCTACTGACTTTGTTCCACTGCATGATAACATCTCCTGACAACCCCATTTCTACCCTGGAAAAGTATAAAACATGCTGTACTTTTTAATAAGCGTGAGTGGCAAAAGATGCAGCCTGTACAAGGCCTACCGACCCCATACTTTCTTCTCTCTCTCTCTTTTTTTTTTCTATCAGCTTTATCTTCTGATCTCCTAGTCCTCTTTCTTGGGACCTTGTTACTACTGAAGAATGATCTTTTGGTCTAGGTCCCAACACCCACCACCTGTGTCTCAAGGGAACACACTATCCCAATGTTCAGTAGCATATACTGACTTTGCTTGGTTTTGAATATCACATCTACCCCCTTTCTCCCTCCTATTTCCCCTATCCCCGACCTTCCCATTCCTTCCCATCCCTTCATGGGCTCTGTTTTTAAAACCCATGGAGTCCAGTGAGTGCTCACTCCTTTTGGTGGTCTTTAGTGGTAAAGGTAACATGGAAACAATGAGTGTGATTTAAGTATTCTAATACCTTTTAATTTTACGTATAATAAACTCAGCCATTGTACCGTTGTTCTCTGGCCCAGTGTGATCTAGCCCCCATCTACTTCCATACCTTTGTTTACCTAACTTTCCCCTTCTTTGCTATGGCTGATCACACGGCCGGCCTCCCTTTCAGCTCGTTTGGAACCCTCTACACTCTGACCTTCAGAGATTGCATACTGTTTTGTCATTCTCCAGGGGAGCTCCCCCAGGCTGGAGAGAAAGCTAAGCAACGCCGAGTGTATACAGCTCTTGCAGACAACCAGAGTTTGGTTCCCAGCACCCGTGTGAGGTAACTCACCACCACCTGTATATAATTCAGCCCCGAGGGATATGGCACCCTCTTCTGGGCCCATGGTCATCTACACTCACATGCTCAATTAAAAACGAACCTTACAAAGTAAAAGGGGATCTGTTCTTCCAATTGTCTACCTGCTGGCCACTGGCCACTGCTCAAGGGCAAGGCTATGAGTGTGAAACCCCTTCTATCCTTTCATTGGATTTGATAGCGTATGTGCTCCTTAATAGTTGAATATCCTTTAAAAATTCCATGTGTCAGAGAATAATGACTGTAAGCTGTAGAAGGGCCCATCCCTCCAAGCTGTGTTTCCAGTACTCAGGGTGTCACTGGGCACATGCGAATGTGTTTAATGCTTGGCAAGAACGCAGGGCAATGAAATCCTCTCCGAGAGAATGCTCTCATGGAAACAATTATAGGTCTGTCAGTGCAGATGAAGACACACTCATTTAATGATCCGGGAACTGCTCTCAAACATGCAAGAGGACATTGCTAGAACCGACACAGCAACACTATTTACAATAAATAGCCAAATGTAAAATTGGGACCAAAGGAGACAGACGGGTAAGTTGTGCAAGCTCATAAAACGGGATGCTGTGCAACAGCAAGCCTGTTTTAAGAAGGATAACACTTTGAATGCTTAAATTCTACAAATGTATTCCTTCTGTGAAAAAGTAAGTTATATAGGTATGCAATGTAGTAAATTTTATCTGGTGACTAAGAAAACCTGCATGAGAATACCTTATGTTGCTTAAAAAACTCTCAGACTCTCTCCTTCTCTCTCTCTCCCTCTCTCTCTCTCTGGAGGAGAAAGGGGAGGAGGAGGAGAGAAAAAGCATCTAATTTAAGGTGAGTGTTTGGGCCTGGGCGATAGTCACAGGAAGCCTGGAGAAGATTCCTTCTGTTTGCTGCTGACATGACAGGGCTTGTTTGGAATCACGTTGCCCTTGACAAAACTGTATGACTCACGCTTAAACGGAAGCACATGAAAGTAAAAACCAGAGCAGACGAGAGGGGATACTGAATTCAGAAACTTTCTACTTAAGCTAGGTTCTTTTGGCCATCACGAACAAAGCTAAAGTACACGCACGTTCCTCTCCAGGCATTCCTCCCCACCTGCTTCTCTGGGAGATCCTGCAGACATTTTTAAAACTTGAATCAGTCTGTGTTGTTTACATCACTAGGGTTCAGTTTACACGGATTAAACCGAGCCTCCTCTTACCAGCTTCTTGCACCCACTCAATAGTCACTCTTAGACATTTGAGCTTGAGCTTTCTTTTGTTTACCCTTCCATATTGGTACAACCTGTAGCATCTATTTCTTCAGTTTCTAATCATCATGTTGTTTGTTGAAAAGCTCACAATCCTCAAATGGGTTTTGTATTCCAAGCCCAGTGATTGATTCTTGATGAAGCAACAAACTTATTCCACATGGAGATCATCCCGGAAGTGTAAGGCAATGGGGCGGGGTGGAGGAATCTGACCACCTTAACTTTCTGAGCATGGGTCAGCCCTGACCCTGTGGTTGCTGGGTCCCTAACTCCACAGGGACCTAGGAATGCCCGGCTAAGAAGCTGGTGGGCTGATTGCACTTGCTTCTCAATCCGTTACCTGCTGGGACCACAGGCCTGAGTGAGCTTCCCTTTCGGAAGAGTTTAGACCAGAACCTGTGCTCAACCTGTTTGCTCTACTGGAGATCTAGCAGGGAACAGAGGGCCATTGCCTTTTCGCAGAAGCCACGTGGAATGGCCTCCACTTCTGGGATAATCCATATTAGGGCAGAGTCGGGCATGGAAGAACCATTCAAATAGGGGTTGGGATAATTATTATTTATTATTATTATTATTATTTTTGCGACAATCTGGAGTAGATTAAAGCCGACATTCCTGATAGATGAACATGTTGTTAACTTGGAATCAGGCAAAAAAAAAAAAAAAAAACACCAAACAAACAAAAAACTGAGCGTCTCTCTGGGGCTGGGTTCGGTCTGTGCTGCTCCACTTGGGGAAGGTGAGTCTGCTCCGCCCGCGGCGGAGAGGCGATGCCCGGGCTGCGGAATGCGGTGACCGACTTTGATCAGGTTCCTGACGGGGTTCCTGCTCTACTCCACGAGACCCCGCGCTTGGCGACCCCACAGGCAGGTGGATCGCTCTCACGCCCATCCCCACCTCACCCCGGACCCCACACGGAGGGCAGAGGGCAGAGGGGAGCCCGCGGTCCCGCTGGGGCGGCTTGGCGACTGTCCCCGCCCGGGAGCGGAGCCTGAACGTGGACTGGAGCCTTCAGCCTTGGCCCATTCTGCTCGCCCTTCCCAGATGCACCGGCGGGGCCCGGGGTATCCCAGGAGCTCTGCTGACGCTGGGCTGGGCGTGTCCTCCTGCTCTGGCTGCCGTGGGGTCGCTCAAGGCGGTAGAGAGATCTGCCACTAAATCTGCCCCTGCCCCCCGCGTCACCACCGGCCCCTCCTCAGGCCAGTCTGCCTCCTTCTGAAGGTCTGGCTCGGGAAAGGGGTATGGAATGAGGATGGGGACAGGCCGGCCTTGGAGTGGTGAGGCGGGCGTGGAGGGCTGTACCCCTTACTTCCCCCATCGTCTTCTCCCCCCCCCCTGTAGCCCAAAATGTGGGTGCGGTCCTTGCTGCTCTGTGGAGTGTCTTTCTCGTTTCTACTTTCTGTGGCAGCAGGTACGTTCCATGAGTCCTTGGGTCTCGGGGGAGGCCTGTCTGCCTGTGTCATCCCCACTGTTTTCCTCCAGATGATCTGGTAGGCAGAGTTTAAAAAATAAAAAATTCGGGGGGGGGGGATAGAAAAAGACCATTCCCAAGTTCTTGGAGGCTCAACCCTAAATGTGGCCTTGGAACTTTGTGCGACATTGAATAGTCTACTCAATCCCAGTGCTCGATTGGGTGGGTTACTAGCTGCGTCTATTTCGTGTAACGGGTTATTTCATGGTCCAAAGCTACCAGAGACAGAACAAATTTCTAAGAAAAACTAACTTGGCAGAAACGGGCTTTGAAAGGACGGTGTCTTCAAAGCAAGTCAGTAAGGGACTGCAAGGGCGGGAAGCAGAGCCAACCAGGACGGCAGGCGCTCTGGGGAGGAGGACAGAGAATTAAGGGCAGAATCGGAGAATAAATGCACAGGGGAGTGGTGGTTTTCTGCAGGGGCCTGTGGATACATTGTGTCTAAAAGACTGCGTTAGTTTGGGGAAACTCAGGGATACAAATTCACAATTCTCAGAACAAGATGTTTTCTGATGAACAATGACACCGGGGTTGTTTCTTGTGCTCCCCTCCCCTGCCCTCCCCTTCCCTTCCCTTCCCTCCCCTTCCCTCCTCTGCCCTCCCCTGCCCTCCCCTCCCTTCTCCTCCCCTCCTCTCCCTCCCCTCCCTTCTCCTCTCCTCCCCTCCCTTCCCTCCCCCTCCCCTCCCCTCCTTTCTCCCTCTCCTCCCCCTCCCCTCCCCTAGGTACCTGCAAGGATGCTGATATGCACCATGAGATCATTTCAGAGGGCCGGCCTTTTGCTTTCAATTGCTCATACCCTCCAGTAACAAATGGGGCAGTCAATCTGACATGGCACAGAACACCCAACCAGAGCCCCGTATCCAACAACAGACAGCTCAGAAATCACCAGGACCAGACCTGGATTTTGTTTCTTCCTTTGGAAGAGGGGGACTCGGGCATCTACCAGTGTGTTATAAGGTAAGTGCTTCAATCAAAGCAGGACCAATTCACACACTTTCCCTCTCTGTTTCTACATACGTCTTTTAAGAAAATGGGTATTACTAACCTTTATTTTTGAGACATGTTACGTAGCCTAGACCAATTTCCAACTTACCTAAGCTCCAGAAGTGCTAAATGACAGATGTGAGCCACCAAAACCAGCAAGAATGTGCGTAGAGGCAAAGCGCATTGAGGCAAGAATGCAGGATGGCCGTCAACTGTTATGAGGCGGTGCCCACCGAGCATATTTGAAAGCGGAACAGATTTATGAGTCATTTTGGGGGCACAGGTTGCATCCTTTTCGTCGAAATGATGTTGCGGGCCAGCCCAGCTTACAAACAGTGCTCGTATCAATATTATTGCTGCCATTTTCTCAGAATGCCGACAGTTTTTGATCATTGGTGGCTGATCCAGGTCAAAATGAGCCTCCTCCGAGAAGTTTTCTCAAGGTCAAATCAGGCAATTAAAAGGTAGCCAGCCTGGGAGACAGACGTTCTAGAGTCTCCATGAGTCCTTGTGCCAGGTTTAATGCCACTGAGGGCCCTTTGAGCTGCTTGCATGAAAGCCGATTGCGTTTGGAGGGACCTACAGTCAATTGGCAGCAAGTGCTCCACCAATAGCGAGCCGGTCACCCATTCATTCTTCCTGCTTCCCTTCCCGTCCCTCCCTCGCCCTTTCCAAACGTTTTAAGACTTTGGTGAGACCCACCTGTGAACCACATTTGACCAGAGAGGTCTGGTTCTGAGACTTCCCACAGCAGCTTGACTGACAGCCACATACTATGCCATCTCTCCGAACCTTGGCTTTCCTACCTGTAGATTGGGTGTGTCTTATATTAACCCGCAGGAGCTCTGGGTCTTTGGTTTTCAAACCATCGCCATTTTTAAGGACTAGGGACAGTCGTTTATGTGTCACAAGCCCTCTGGTGAGTAAGTGGTTGCAATGGATGCAGAGCAAACACTGTCTTTCTAGTCTGTTCAGATGCCCAGGGTGTCCATTGGCCCCTTCTGAGATTTGCTGAAAGAGATATCAGCATTTCCACTGTACAAGTACCCATTGTCATTTGGTGATGCCTGGTGAGCGGGCCACTTGTGATTTCAGAGGATTTGTACAGTGTCTAGGAAATATTTGAGAACGATGTGAAAATGATTTACTGAGTTCTAAGACCGCTTAAGAATTGATTGGGTCCAACCTGCTGTTTCCTCATAGGGACGCCCACAGCTGTTACCGAGTAGCTGTAAACCTAACGGTTGTTAGAAAACATTGGTGTGATTCTTCCACGGAGGGCCCCAGAAATCTGTCTTTGTCGGATGAGTATCAACAAACTCTACCCATGGGAAAGTCGGGCAGTCTGGCATGTCATCTCTACTTCCCAGACAGTTGTGTTCTGGATTTGATAAAGTGGTATAAGGTAAAAACAAACAAACACAAACAAAAGACACAACAACAACAACATAAACCCTCTGTTGATATGATTTTCTTCTCATATAAAACCCACGTTATTTTTGCGGTGAAACTGAATGATTCCGAGCATAGTTGGTATTTTGTATGTCTATGACAAGTGGTAGTAACCCTGATAATTCCGTTAAACTTATGGTTGTTGTTGTTTTGTTATATTGTTTTATCTTCTCCGTAACCCCAATTACCATTTTTCAGGCTCTTCTTGCTATCTTTTTTTTTTTTTTCCCCACTCATTTTGTTTGGTTTGAATAACTCTGATGCCCGTTACTCTTGCCTGGGGCTTGTCAATTCTGTGGATGTTTTCAGAGTTCTGACTGCAGACCTTAGGAATCTCCTCTTCCTAGTTTGTTCTCTGTTTGATCCATCAATTTCTGTTCCTGTCTAGCTTCCCCCTCCAGTTTGTTTTATTTCGGTTTAAACTTGCTATTATTCTATGCATATTGTGAGATAGACTCTTCTATCGTTAAGGCAGAGTTTCTAGTATGTAGATTTAAGGTTGTGGCTTCCTTTAAAACCGTGTCTTGGTTGATGTCCACAGAGTCTCACCTGCCACTCTCTAATCACCCCACTCAAATCATTCTGATTTTCCTTGAGATTTCCTCTTTGACTTTAGATGTTTTTGAAGGGTTGTTGAATTCATGAGTGTCCCAGTGTTTGGGCAGAGAGCGCATTCTATATACCTTCAGGACCTTGAACTTGTGGATTGTGTTATCCTTCTCCCTTTTCTTTTAGTTTAACTCAGACTTGTTAACACAACTTAGTGTGATTATTGATTATGCTGTACAACTGACTTTACTAATGTTTGTGTTTATACTTTTGAGATATTATTTACAGAAATATTTTAAAATACTTTGGTTTCCAGCTGCATTGAGCTTCTGAGGTGTGCTCCCTCCCTCCCCCATCCCTCCCTCCCTCCCCTTCCCTCCCCCTCCCTCCTTCCCTCCCTCCCTCCCTTGAAGTTTGCCTCCCTTTGGAGCTAATACAACACCAGCTTTTCTGTGGCAGCTGGTGGGATGCTGACTCTCCTTTTCTGTATATTCACTTTCAGCTTTCTGTATGTAAATACTCTTAGGGAATCTTTTTTAAGTAGCAGGTGTCAAGGCCTTTAAAAGCTCTAGGCTGGATTTTTACCCCTCATGTTTCCTGTGATTCCCCATGTGTTACCTTCAAATCCTCTTTGTTGGTAGTTTTTGTTTACTGTTTGTATTCTAAACTTACTGCCTGTCTTTTTCCTTACCTTTTTTTTAAATGAAGCATTTATTAGTCACCTTTATTTTTATGAATTGCATAGTGGACATCTTTAACAGTCATTGGCTGGTTAGTTCATCCACAGTCAGCCTTGAATTATTGCCATCGGATAGGAAATTTCTGAGGAAATGAAGGACTGTTGTATTTTAATCCCTCTCTGGGAGGTTTTTGATTTACACTCTACTATAGCTACTGATAATAATTTCCTTGAAACACAAAAAGACATTCTTGCCATATCTAATCAATATTCTTTTAGAATTTTCCCACATATTGAGCTTTCTCTTCATTTATAATCTAATCAATATCTCTGAATTTGTGTTTCGAATCATTTAAATAACTTTTTTTTTTTTTTTAATGTGTCAGTTGTTTTGACTGACTACCATGTATACCAACCACATGCAGTGCCCACAGGAACCAGGAGAGGGCACCAGATCCTCTGGAACTTGGCTTACAAATAACTTGTGTGTTCACCTGTAGGAGCTGGGAACCGAACCAGGCCCCCTGGTTCTAACCCTTACACAGAGCCTTATCTCCAGGCTCCGGAATAATTATATATAATATGTATGTGTCCAACTAGCATCTCATGAATTTTCCTATTATCTCATTTTTGAAAATGTTTATTATTATTATTATTATTATTATTATTATTATTATTATTATTATTGATACACTATTTTTCATGGGTTACCACTTATTTTCACTCTGCAGTTTGAACATATTATTCAGTGGCTTATGATATCCAGTATTTTCCTTATTCTTGTATTTCTGCCCTTTTTGAATGTGATAGGCCCCAATCTGAATTCCTTGAAAATGTTACCCTTGACTTTGGAGTTTAGTAGAATGATGCCAGTGAGCGGAGGTAGAGACTTCTCATCTATTCTGCGCATACCCTTCGAAGTTAGAGCTCATTATGTGTTGCCTCCATTGTTTCTTAGCCCCTAGTCCATTCAGGGTTTTCTTATTTCCTTTTTGTGTCCTTTGGAACTCTAATTAAACGTGTGTTTAATCTGTTTATTTATTTATTTTCTTAATGTGCTTTCTACATCTCACATGCCTCTTCCTGTTCTCGGCTACTTTGTGTGCGCATACCTACTGGCTTGATTTCTAGCACACTCCTTTTCTTCTCAGGTGTGTGATCCCCCCCCCCCCCCCCCCCGGGAAACTCACCCGTGTATCTATTGTAATTTTAAAATCTCTATATAATTTTTTTTCCTTGTCCATTTTGCATGGATGTTTTTGCGTGTGTGTGTGTGTGTGAGTGAACCTGGACATGGACACACGTGTACGCAGGAGGTTGGTGTCAAGATTCATCCTCCATTGCTGTTCTGTCCTGTTCAGTGAGGGAGGGGCTCTTACTTAAACCCAAGCTGGAATCCAAACGGTGGCCACACCTACCTGGCATTTAACTGGTTTTTCCTACAGATCCAAATTCCGAAGCTCAAGCTTGCTTGGCGAGCACCTCAGCCCCCGAGCCATCTACTCAGCCCCAACTCTGTGATTTGTATTTGGCCCTTCTTGGCACTCATCTACACGTGGTTGAAGTTCTCGGTGCTGCTGGTAAACCGGTCAGATTGAACACCACTACTCTGAAGTCTCTGTCTGATAACTTTATCCCTCTTCAATTAATTTAGATCAAGTTGAGGCCACGGAGCTTTAAATTGAAAGTACATCATTGATTTTGACTTTCTTCTTGTTGTCTCTACTTCTGCCTTGTTTTGGCGGTGCTGTTCAGTCGTTGGGACTGGCCCGTCTTTGCCCCCAGAAACCAATGTGGCCATCTTGTTTCAGCTCTCTTCTTTCTTTTGCCATCACATTTGAGACCAGACTCCCGTCCATCTTACTGCTTTCATCTTCAGCAGACCTTATACCTAGTGCACATTAGAGCATTCTGGGACATTTCTGTGTCTGCCTAATGGGACACTTGCTGAGCCGGGAGTCGAAAATGCAGCTGGATGCATGCTAGTATTTTCGCAGTTAGCATTATCCTGGAAACTATGACCAGATAAGGCATTCACATGATCCCCTAGAGCTCGGGTTATTTACGACCTGCGTTAGTCAAATGCATTAAGGATACGTTCAGAGGGACTAAAATGTGCTATGCCACATAAAGGAAGAGAATTCAGCACTTAGCCTTGGGTTGATTTGACCAAGACCACGGATTCCCTCTTCTCCCTGTGCCCTCTGTCGATTTCACTTTGTGGTGTCGGGGTTTGTCTGTTTGCTGTCTGGAGTTTGCTGTTTGGAGTCTGTTTGCTGATGAGTCTGAATCCATCCCTGAGTCTGTGTCTGTCCTATGCCTGGTTGATGCCTTACTGGTTGTCTCTTGCTGTGCTCTTTCTTTATTCAACTCTGCCCTTTCTTTATTGAACACTGTAGCATCACATGTGGAAGGAGTAAGGACACTTAACAGAAACCATTAACAGTTTTACAAGGGACTCAGTCACTGACTCCGAAGCACTCAGTGCTGCGGCCATAAAGATATCAACTCATATCCAAATGCCATTCCAATATTTATGCCAGGTGGCTGTTGCGTAAGGTCTCTTTAAACATGCTGGATATTTCCAGCATTTACTACCATGGGTCAGGGGTGCGGAAGAGTGCATAATTTGAAATGATCACTGCATATTAGATTATGTTGTAAAAGCTGATTCATGGGAAATCTGAGGCAAGTAAGGTTGGCTGTTACGTTGTTCTCTTACAGGCAGACTACACAGCAAGACCTCAGGTTAAATCTTAAGGTGCATTAGTAACTTGGCCGTGTGCTTCAAACAAAGTTTCAGTCTCTTAGAAAATAAGATATATTTTCATAATAATGTGTCTCCATAGCAACGAGGGGTGATGCTGTCATCCACCCAATCTGTGACAGTAGCTCCCATCTATCAGAGAACAATTGTCCGATGATAACTGGAGTTTCCTTAGAGAGTATTGATCTGAACAGTGTAGGAGATCTAGGACGGCATGTTGTACATTATAAAAAAAATCATGTGCTTATTATGACATTATTTATTGAATTTTGCATGCAGAGTAGATTTATTCTCCTTGTTCTGAGGTGGAGAATAAAGATGGACTCATCTGTGGCTGGTTAAGTCTGGAGAGAATGCAACACCAAGTTGGTTACATTTGTCGAATTGGATTTTTATCTATTATATTGTGGGGTTCATGAGGACAGTAACTATGTCTAATTCTCCCATGGCTGAAGTCTCTCATAATTCTGGGAAAGATAGGAACTTAAATATTTGAATAGAAAAAAAAAAAAGGGCTCAAATAGCCACTCTGTGGAGCTGGGCTTCTCAGAGGAAGGGGAATAGGCCTGGGCAGGAGTCCAGAAGTGGGTCCATGAGGTGAAGCTTGATAAAGGGAGCTTTGGGAGCAGGGAAGGTAGTTTCCTTGGTAAGATGTTTGTCTTAAAAACATGAGGACCTCGGTTTCATCCCCATAAACACATGTGAAAAAAGCTGGGTGTGGTGGTGACCAGAGACTGGCAGACCCCTCAGGTTTGTTAGTCAGCCAAGTCCAGGTGGACAGCAGTCCAAGAAGATCACGCAAGTGTGCAGGTGAGCACACACAGACACACACACACACACACAGACAAACACACACACACACACAGAGGGAGAGAGAGAGAGAGGCTAAGTGATGACTGTCAATCCCTCTCTGTTTCTCTCTATGTTGATTTTTCAACTTAATTTGATCGAGAAATGCTAAAGAATTTAAAGAACACCTCTGGGTGTGTCTGTCAGCACATTTCCAGTGAAGATTAACTGATGCTGTGTTCCAGATAGAATAAACATGAAAGAGAGAAAGCCTGCTCCTGCAGACTTTCTGTCTACTTCCTCCTCTCCAGTGCTCCTCCATACACTTCTCAACACGAACGAGTAAAATCTCTGAAACCACAAGTCCATTAAAAGTCTTCTTTACGTTGTTTATATCAAGTGTTTTTGTCAAAGTGATCAAACAATTGACTAACACAATTACCTTAGTCTATTTGTCTATATCGATCTATCTGGCTATCATCCATCCATCATCCCTCCATCCATCCATCATCCATCCATCATCTACCTATCATCCATCCATCATCCATCCATTATTCATCTAGCATATATTATACAATGTCTTCTAGTCAGATTGTTAATATCTAAAGTTTAGATTGTAGGTGACCATGTAGATAAAGGAAGTTGTGTCTCCCCATAGCACCTAGGATAATGCTAACTAATGAAGTTACTAGCATTTCCCAGTACTCATTCATTTCTTCTCTCTCTCTCTCCCTCTCTCTCTCCCCCCCTCTCTGTGTGTGTATGTGTCTGTGTGTGTGCCTTAGGGATGTGAAGAGCTCAAAGCAGGGAAGCAGTATGCTTTTTCAGGAACAAAGCTTCTTGTGAACAATGTCGCTGCAGAGGACGGTGGGAGTTATGCCTGCACAGCCAGACTCACGCACTTGGGGAGAGAGTTCACGGTTAGAAACTACATTGCTGTGAGCATCAGTAAGTTTACTATATTTGAACCTAGTAATTAAAAAAAATTAAATACGTAGTTCTTCTATTGGGAAGCCTCAGATCCATAGGTAGTGAACTTAGGACTACAAATGGACTGTTTGGGCATCCTGTGATAGAATTATAATTATAGCTCATATTCTAAGGAACAAAAACAATCTGAAGGAACTTGAAAAGTGGCAAACAAACAGGCTTGGAAGACTTCCAAGAGGAAATGAGTTTTCTGTAGGATTTTGATAGATGAATGTATCTTTAAATCATAAAGGAAGATGAGAAGGGCCACAGATAAGGCAAGTGCCACCATATAAGACATCATGTTTCTTGTTGGAGGCATAGTAAATTTCCCTACAACATAAGTGTGTCAGGGAAGAGGAGGGTTGGGAGCTGAGTTCAAGCAACCACACTTTCACTGAAGGGCCATGGAGGTTGTGAGTACAGAGTTAAGAGTCTGCTATGTAATGGGAGAAACCAGCCACAGGATTGTTTGAAGCAGGAGAGGTTGAAGTAAGCCTTGAGTCCCGGAGGCCACCTAGGATACCACAGTGATGCCCAGAAGAGTGTTGATGGTCTCAGCTTGGGTGCAATGATTATTCAGTAACTCTTCACTGAGGGAATAGGAGATGCCAGGTTCTTTGCTAGGCAGTGAGAAAACAATGATGAGGGAACAAGACAGCTGTGTACTGCTATGATGAAGCCTGAAGTCTAAGAGGCAGTGGAGGCAGAGACAGATGACAATCCACTATGGGATGTCGCATTACAGGGGATGCAAATACATGCGGGTAAGCCGGAAAGAGTCCATAGATTGGTAGAATGATGAAGGCATTTGCAGACAGAAGACTAAGACGCTTCGGAGGCCCCTGAAAGAGAGGAGCCATGTTGTGTATGAGGGATGGAAAACAGGCAATTTGGGCTAGGTTGATGAAGCCACGGCAGGTGATGTGGTTAGAGAATCAGTCAGGGGTGAGGGGTGGGTGGAACTTGAACTTCAAACAAGGCAGTGTGGATTTTATTCTCAGAACAATGGTGAGAAGCCAGTGGGGTTGAATCCTTGAGAACAGCTTGGGGTGCTTTTCATTTCTGTGCTGATGCTGCCGTTGGGAACAGGACAGTGGTTAGGAGGCAGTTGCCGAAGTATACGTGAGACATCAGGCAGGCACAGGCACCATGGCAACAATGATGGGGAGTTTCAGACACATGCACAGCATCTCCAAAGGGCTGACCCAGTAGGGAGGGAGGAATCATAGATTGTAGGTCTTTTGGCATACGACGCTGGGTGGGAGGTGACATTAATCAATGAAACAAGACAGCTCAAGGAGAAAATATGTGTAGGAGAGATTTGGCCTTTGGTAAGTTGAGCATGAGGCATGCAAGAAGAGAAATAGAATAGGCCATAACCTCTGTGGGTTTGGAACTCACAGGGAATCCTGGAGTTAAGAGTTTCTGGGCATTGGACTTTAGGTGGTTATTCAAGATGTGAGTGGGTTAGCTGGTCTCAAAAGAGTAGAGGATAGAAAAAAGATGCTTGTGAAGTGAAGACAGAGCCCCAGACTTTGAGGAGATAGTAGGTAACATGTGTTGGGCTGTGATGAGAGAGCTATTGACTATAACCACCTCTAGACTTGACATATGTGTGACCGACCTAATAGGTGGGATCGTCGATTAGCTGATGATGACTTCTACTCATGAATAATGAAGAGATTTACAGAATGCAGCAATACTATGTTCATCTTAAATGTCATAACCTTGAGATTTGACCTTTCTTAAACAATGTTTATGAAGGTTTTCCTCTTGATGTACTTCATGCCATTACATTAGGTTTCTGGGGGGGGGGAGTGTGTCATGTTTTGCACTTCTAATGGGTGTGATTTCTTATCAGAGGAAGTTGTGTCTGGAAGAAGGATTCCTAATATCATGTATCCAAAAAACAACTCCATCGAAGTTCAGCTTGGTAAGTCAAGGTGTTGGAATCCTCCGGGTTACAATGGGTAGAGTCCATTGGGCCCATTTGTTTCAATGGATGCATTGAATGTCCAAGGTGAAGACAACCCAGCACATGTCTAATGTCCAACTCTGGTTGTGCCTGGGCTCAACAGAAGATGTATCAAAGTGAAAACTAAGAATACCCTCTTGGGATACTATGGTGTTGACATTCTGCCACTGAGTACTGTGAGTCTCGGTGACATCTGTGAATTTGTTTATGCAAAGCTATTGAAAGTACAGACACATATAGGGAATGTGAAGCTACTGTTACTAAATAATCTCAATCAGGAATTCCCTATATATTATTTTATCTCATACTGCATGTTTCCGGTAATGAAGATATTCCAGGCTCAAAAACAAGGCGTATTTGTTGACTAGATTGCCAACCAGGTTGACTTGCTTGAGAATCTGTAGTTTACATTCAGTGTTTATAAATTTGACTGCTTCAGGTTCCACCCTTATTGTGGACTGCAATATAACAGACACAAAGGAGAATACAAACCTGCGGTGCTGGAGAATCAACGAAACTCTGGTGGACGACTACTACAATGACTCCAAGCGCATCCGGGAAGGAATTGAGTAGGTGCTTATTTGGGAACTTCTCTGAAGGCTAGCAAGCGTCACTATGTCCCCATCAATGAGCTGTTATCAAGGCTTTTCACTCCTGCCCTGGACTTTGCCTTTTAATGACCATTATGTGCTGTGTGTAGCCAGGCATCTAGCTCTGACAAATGCAAGATGTGTATGCTTTCAACTGAACCAGTGCCAGCTGCACGCAAGCTGTATCTTAGACAGACAGCATCCATGTGTGCTACCACTCCAATCCACCCTGTCACATTCAGTTGCATTATGAGCTGCTGGCCTTCAATGTGGAGTTTGTGCAGTGCAGGGTTTCTTGTGCTGTGCCTTGTGAGATAAATGAAATCACGACTAATGATCGTGGTGAGCCTTGCTGTGTCACACATTAGTATGTATATAAAATCTGGGGGAGAAAAGATGCCCGTTAGGACTGTGCCTGGGACGGTAGTGGGCAGAGCCACACTTTTTTTTTTTATGATTGTCCAGATGAAAATGAAATGTATAACTATAGAATCTCTATATATCGAGTCACTCCAGTAAGTATCTTAGAGTAAAATATGGCCTAGGGAGTTCTCTAGGGAAAACAAAACAAGACAAAGAAAAACAAAACAGCCCACACACTATTTCTAGATGATAAGCTACGTTTTATGTTGCGCAAATCTGGCTCACATGTTAATGGCTGGCTCTTTCTTTCCAGAACCAACGTTTCCTTGAAAGATCACATTTTTTATACAGTGAACATCACATTCTTAGAGGTGAAAATGGAAGACTATGGCCTTCCTTTCATGTGCCACGCTGGAGTGTCCACAGCCTACATCATGTTGAAGCAACCAGGTAATGTCCAGCGGATCACAGGCTACCCAGAACATTGGAAGCGGTGGCCAGGGAAGGGTTACTAAGGAGAGGTGATGGTATACATTCAGTAGGCAGCAACAGACAGCACTAAATGGACAGCTCAGGGGTACCACTTAGTGAAAGATGGTGCTGTGTCTGATGGCTGTCTTGGGACAAAGCTGTAATTCTATCAGAGTAATTTATACTGAGCCATCTTCATAGACATTGAGATTTTATGCATTTAAATTCCAGAAAACAGTTTTCCTTTTTTTTTTAAACCAAATTGCTCAATGCTCATAACCATTTATTTGTGACTTTCAACTTTCATTTTATCATAAGTAATTTGCTGCACAAATGTTTATGTTTATTATATTTAATGTTTTTCCCTTGTAACTTTGTGACATTGTCTATACATCTGATGTCTGAACAGAAGGGTTTTCGAATGCACAGGGCTGTTTTTGTTTGTTTGTTTGTTTGTTTGTTCTTGGTCATCTTCAATGGCTAAAGATCTCTTTTAATTTTTTACCTTTCCCTTTTGTCATCTTTACACATGAATAGAATGTGCTGTGGTCTCATGCAGTCCCTCATGACCTCTCTTGCCTGACTCTTGCTCTTCCTGACTCCCCAATTCCTAACTGGTCCGACCGCCTCCTGCTTTCCCTTGTGAAATGGTAATGGTGTGTGTGTGTGTGTGTGTGTGTGTGTGTGTGTGTGTGTGTAGCTACAGGCATAAGAGAGGGCTTGAATTCATGAGAATATATTGATAATCAATCATAACCAGGGCAGTGGTGGTGCACACCTTTAATCCCAGCACACAGGAAGCAGATGCAGGTGGATCTCTGAGTTTAAGATCATCGTGTTCTGCAGAGCAAGTTCCAGGACATTCAGGGATACTCTGAGAAACCTTGTCTCTATAAACAAACAAACAAAATATCAGTTAATCACATGCATCACGGTAAAGCCAAATGGACATGTTTCTATAGGACTTGGCCAATGTGGCTTTGCTACTATTGAACTCTGATCATGGGGGATGTTCATCACTTCCCTTAGAGTAGCTACAAGTAGGAACATGTCTAAGGCGTGTACAGTTCTGAATGCACATGCTTTCTCCCTCACTGTGATGACCCGGGGCTGGGCTCACTCTGTCCCCCATGTTGTGCTAACTGAGTGGACGTGCAGCCCCCCCCCCCATTTCCTCATCTTGGACTCTTGGGGACCCTCATGGCTGGGTTGGATGGAAGCGACACTGGGCTCACCTGTGTCCACTAGCTCCTTGTCCAGCACTGGCCTTGGGGGCGGGGTCAGTTTTGATCAGCTTCCTGCCACCTGACCTCCTGTCCCTGTCGTTCTTCCCGGAGGTTCTCGAGGCTCTATCAGTTCTCCTTTTAGTCCTTCTGAGGCAATCTTCTGATCTCCACGGCTTCAACTATTACCCTGAGGCAGATGCCAACACACTCCACATGTCCAACTGCTTCTCTCCTCCTTCACGGCAGCTTTGCCTTTCCTCCTATATACAGATACAGTGGCAAAAACCATATTACGTTATATTATATTTGATCTCTTAAACCTAATTTTCTTACCTTTGCTAAATACACCCCCATACTTTTCATATCCTTTATACCCAAAGTCTGACGTCATCTCAGCCCCTGGCAATGGCTGACTAACTTGCCAGTTTTATAGTTTTCCTCAGGTTTACCTGCGACTTCTGCCCCGCCTGTCCACTCTACTAGCTAGTACATGCTGGGGTGCTGCACACCTAGCACTTAATCATTCAAGTTTCCATGTTCAAGTCCCAGCCTTAGCATTGCGCAGCATCAGGACCGCCTGGGATCTGAGTTTGCTTGCCAGTGTGTTGAGAATCATGACAGCACCTTCCGTACTATTGTGGGGGAAAGGTTTTGAGAACAAATTGGAATTTTCTTTTTTATCGGAAAATATAACACACATAGAAAATGTACATACCACATAACAGTTAGTACTGCAAATTAAATACAAGTCAAGCTACCATATCTTTGTTAGGGATGACAGGTAAACATAGTCAGATGGAAAGGCCCCCATGCTCTTTCTGGCTGAAAACATGCCTTTCCTACTTTGGCCTGGACACCTCTTACTTTTAGAAAAGTCATTTCTTTGCTTTGTGATATTTCATGATCTCTCGAAAAATAGTTTATTTTTGCCATTTCAGGGTCTTTACATTAAGAGTATGAGATGATATTATTTCTTCTGTGACACGATTCTTTTCTTAGGTAGCTGGCGTATGTTGGTTTATTGATAAGGTAGCAATTAGCTGTTCTTTCATCTGAATTCTAGAAACCCATTCTACTCCACAGTCAGGCCACCTTTGTCTGGCCTGCAGACCAGGGCAAAGAAGCCCCTTCCAAAGGCCCCTATTTTGATGAAGGAGTCAATTTTAATAAGCCAGCGACAATATGTTTTCTCAGCCAAGGAACAGAGAAGAACCCAAAGACATTCCAGGGGCTTCCAGCAGTAAAAGAGGCTTGGCTTAGTTAGGCCAGAGAATGTGACCCTGGAGAAAAAAGAAAAGCTTGCTCTAGGACATGACATGCCTTAGGGAGTTCATGACACCTAATGTGGATTTATTTTCAACCTAACTTAACGTGTAAGTTTGACCGTTTAGTTACCTAGTCCCAAGATGGTCAATACAGACTCTATTCATACTGATTACCTGGGAGCATTGTGCTTGGAAGCATTTTGAGGCCAAGCCCAGGCTCAAGAAGGCTAACGTTACCGGCTAAGGAATGAACACCTGTCAGTCATGTGGGAGTGGGAGGGATTATTTGTTCAGTTAGTTTGGGCCGATATGTAGGGACCTCTTGCTAAACCTCTCTTGGTTTCTCCAAGTGCTCCTTCCACAGCCCACACACGGTGGCTTTTTGGTGGGCTGTGTCTACCTTGTTCCGTTTGTCTCGAGTTCTTAGGAACCTCACCCTCTTAAGTCTAAACTGCTGGGCTTACTTGGTGGTAACTTCATCATTTTAGTTCCTCATTGTTTTCTGAGGATACTTCCAGATTTGATTCTTACTCGGTTCATCTGAAGCAAGATCACTGGAAAGCTGTCTTATCTGTGAAATTTCCTCCCTCCCTCCCTTCCTTTTAATCTTTTGTCTTTTAATCACTTGTCCTCCGCTCCCATCTCATCAGAAGTTTGCTGACGGATGTTATGCGACCGACCTCAAATAACAAATCATATTCCCTCTTTTCAGATTTTATTTGCATGTATGTTTTGCTTGCATGTATGTATGTATGTGCATCACGTATATACCCCCAGTGCCCATGGGAATCAGAAGAGGGCATCAGATCTCCTGGAACTGGAGTTATAGGGAGTTTTGAGCTGCCATGTGGGTGTTGGGAATTGAACCCAGTCCTTTGAAAGAGCAGTCAGTGCCCTTAACCACTGAGCCATCTTTCCATCCCAGACAAATCACATTCTCAATAAGGGTATCTGGTATATTAGCAGCGAGTTTTAAATTTATTTCTACTCACTTGAGCTTCTTCACTCATAAGACAATTCCAACATCATCATCTTTGAACACATTTGCAGAGCAGAGCGTGTCGGAGCTACTCAGTGAAAGCAATGGAGAGCCTCAGGCTGCACTCTGGCTGCCAAGGCGTCTTTGAAACTCCCGATTCCCGTGGGCTTAGTCATGGGATAGTCATATCATGGTTTGTAATCCCAAGATCTCAGTCATGGACTTTGACTCTCCCAGACTAGATCCTCCCAAAGGGAGAGATGGTTACTCACCCAGCTGTGATAAGAACCAACACAGATAAGCAGAGGGGTGGGCAGGAAGGGAGACTCCATCTCATAGTTAGAAGGCAGATGACAAGGTTCTAAAGAAGGGTCAGGACCAGGTTGGGCAACGGCGAGCAGAGCGGCATCCGCTGGCCCCACTGGGGTGTGGGTGGTACCTAGTGTGTTTTCTGTCATCATACTTGAGTGTGCTGGGGGTGAAAATATACAGGAAGTCTTAGGGTGTTTACTGTGTGTGTGGCCTGGGGAGGATTTGATAAGATCCTTCAGGAAGGTTCTGTAAACTGAAAGTGCTTGTCCTGGACGACCCAGACACACATCCCCCAACCCCTCACCCCCACCCCGGCCCTGTCCCAGACCCACCAACCCCCTTCTAGACCGGGCTAATGAAGGAAGTGGCTGGTTAGGTGTGTTCCCTCATTCCAATGCATCCCTCCTCTGGCAGTACCCGTTTGGGTTGTGGCAAAGTAGGGTGCGGCATGGTCCCTCTTCTTGCTGTTCTGGAAGCCACCGGGACTTCCCTTTTGCAGTAACTGGTTCTTCCCCCAGCCGTCTGCCCACCTGCCTGTTGTTAGAAATCCTCTGCTGTACGTACACAGAGCAGGCAATGGGCTCTCAGACAGACACCAGGCCCAACTACAGGAGCCCTGGGAAGGGCTGAATGAGGCCTGTCTCACCGTTGATCCCGTGGAGCCAATACAGCTGGCTTCTGGGTGGAGGGCCAACGGCTCCGTTTTGACCAGGAGTCCCTCTGCTCAGCTGTGCAGGTCTGGAGAGGCACTGTGGTAGGCTTGTAACCCAGACACTCCAGGAAAACCCCTGGGGGACATTCCAGACGTGGTCAGACTGTACCCCAGGAAGGCACCTGGACCCCAGACAGGCTCTGAAACAGTCCCCATGCAACGGCAGCCCTGTTGCCCCTGCCCCTGCCCCTGCCGGGTTTCAAAGGGCTCATTTGTTCCCAACCCCACAGTCCAAATTGAAATCACCCAACTCCCATACTGGGCAGGAAATGCTGAGATGCGTTCAAGCAGCGCCCTGGCCTCTCCCACCTGGCTTCTGCGGAGAGATCCCCAAGACTACAGGATAACGCTAACCCTCCGCAGGCCTCTGACTTTTCCCTTTCATTTGCAGCTCCAGATTTCCGGGCTCACCTCATAGGAGGGCTTGTGGTTTCCCTGCTTTTGCTTGTGTCCCTCCTGTTCGTCTACAACAGTTTTAAGATTGACATTAAGCTTTGGTATAGAAGCACCTTCTATGCTGCCCAGGCGCCAGATGGTGAGTATGTGTGGTCTTTGGGGGAAAAAAAAAATGACGCGTCTCCAAATCAGTGCCCACTCATCTGTGTTGCCCCTGTGAATGCCCGTCTCATGTTGTTGTGAGTGAGTCTCCTGGCTGGAAGGTTTAGTGTGTAGGGTCTCAGCAGGACCTCGTGTTCTTCGGAGAAATGGTTTGGACAGTCATCAGCATCCTTTGCCAAATAAGCTGGAAGAAGGCAGAAGGCAGGGCCCCAGGAAACAAGCCATTAGGCAGCATCGGTGGGTGGCACTGGGTCCTCCTGGGCCTTGAAGTGCGGGTGTGGGAAAGGGGCCCATTTTCCGGGCCTGCAAAGTAAAGAAATGTCTGCACCATCCAAGTCTGTCTGTCATGACATGCATTGCACCCCCAAAGCCCAGCAGGGTATACGGTAAGAAAGGGGGCCATCTCCTCTCTCTCTCTCTCTCTCTGAACTCTGTACTCCATACCTGAAGTAATTTACAATCTCTGGATGCGATTAGAAAGGTACTTTCTTCTTTCTTTCAGCCACAGAAGGAGGGTCGTAGAGAAAAAGGGAGGGAGGGAAGGAGAGAGGGAGAGAAGGCGTGAGAGACTATAGGGAAAGGAAAGAATCTATCTTTGGCCAGGCTGAGGTTGAAGAAAGCGCTCGGTAGGAGCCTGGTGCATAGACCCTCCTGCTCTTCTGGAGGCTAAAGTCTGTCCTTCTTCTTCTCCTCCTCCTCCTCCTTCTTTGGACACAGAAATGATGTCTCTATGTGTTCCAAAGCTGGACATTCTCTCCTTGCTAGTTGTGAGACAAGGCAATTATTATTATTGTCTCAGAATGAATGTGATCTAGTAATGACCTAAAAAAAAAAAAAAAAAAAAGCTCAATTTTCTTTGAGGTTCCCTATTTGCCTATAAAAATTAATGAAAAAGTAAAAGAAATCCACACAAGTGACATGCATGGAGATGATGAATAGCTATATACCTTCCTGGACTAGACATTTTTCTTGAACAGGAGCAAGAGAGTGGTCTAAACACAAAAATGCCATTTATTCTAAACAACTGCTTATGCACAAAAGCCACCACATAAATTACCGTCTACATGTTTAATAGATGCCGTGATTCAAACTGTATTTAACTAAATGTCAGAATTCAAAATTGGTAACCCAGAGACTGGGGTGTAGCCCAGTGGTGACGGTGTGATGTGGCTGTCGCTATTGCCTGGCCAGCCCGGTATAACCTGAGGTTCTCAGAGCCCTGCAGGTCTTCTGGAGAGGCATGGCTTGGTTCTGCCTTCTGTACCTGTCTCCCTGGCTGTCTCTGTGAGGAGAGGACGCAGCCCCATGCCACAGACGGGAATGCTTGCCGCCTTCTGGGTTGACTCAGAGAGCGTGACTGTTTCTTGTGATCTTTCTGGGAGCTCCAGCCCCTTGGTGTTTGCATCTCTGACTCAGGAGTGTGGCTACCGCCTTGACTTATGGTGTGCAGATAGCACGGTGAAGCTGACTGCTAGAAAGGCTGAGTTTGTTTGACAGGAGACAGAAGGGAGAATGAGTCACCTCAGTGGAACAGAGGACCTCACCCTTCCCGAGATCAGCACAGCCCAGACTCCCCACAGCCAAGGGGTGGTGGCTTGGGCATTGGGGCAGACAGCCAGCCAGGGGGCCTCATAATTTTTCCTTGTTATTTTTTAATCCTGAAATGTGTGCTTCAGTTTCCCCATAACTTCATTTATTTAAGACACCCTCTACTAGAACTTTGAATAATGGCTCTAAAGTGAGCAAGATGTGAGCCCCAGAGGTCGATTCCGAATCCTACTCAGAGCTTGGATCCTCTTGAGAGAATTTTCTGGAACATAGTAAATGTGGGTGTAGAAGAGAAAGACATTGTCTTTCCTGGCTAAGTTTACTGTAACCTACTTAGTCAGGATTTGCCACGGGTGGGTAAACGTAATGTACCTACGAGTCACGACGCTGTGACAGACATCCACAGACCTGGCACAAGTCGGGGATTTCCATGCAGCCATGGCTGCTTTCAGAACTGGCCTGTTAGGTGTGCTGGTATCTGCAAGACTAGAAAGGTCAGTCAGTGACAGGTCGCTCGAGAACTATGCGTATGCCTGTTCTATTTTGTTTCACCGGGACCGATGGGCAGTGCTCACATGGAATAGATTGCTTAGAGCCAACCCACCAGGTACACAGGGTAACAAAGGGCAGACAGACAAACTGAGGACCCTGTAGAGTTGGGGAGAGGTCTCAGCTTCTAAAGGTGAATTTTCTTTTGTACCTAAAGCCGAGTCGATCAATTCTGGCTTTCCCCACAAATGTTCCCATGGTTCTCAAAATAGCATAGACCATTGTGGCGCCCATTTCCAAAGATGGCTTCCTGCGGGGAGTCCCCATTTACAGTAGCTAGCTCCGTGTAAGCAATCTGGCCTTCAGTGTTCCCAAAGTAAGTATGATCACGTGTTTTACATGGCTTTCCTTTTGTGTCTTCTATGCATGCTAGGGGTAGATGCACCGGTCCTCAGGCTACTCAGTAAAGGACCTTACATAGAATTTCTCTTAAAATTCAAGTTTCATCTGTCAACTCTGCTTGATTTTGCCACTGCTCTGAGCTTGCCAGACTTAAAACTTGGCAATGTCAAACAGAGAGAGAGAGAGAGAGAAAGAGAGAGAGAGAACTGAAGAGAGGCTAGGCCACTTTTCACAACAATCAATCAACCCATAAAGATGATCCTGTTGGGCTTTAGAAACAGCCCAAACAGAGGCGTGTACAGATGCTTTTAATTGAAGGAACGGTAAAATAGTCTCAGCAAATAGAAGAGCTTGGCCAGGACAGAAATACAATGCCACCCCTACTTTTGGGAGAGGTGGGTATTAGGGACAGCAGCCAGTAGAGCGGAGTCTTCTCAGACCAGCCGCTAGAAATTCTAGAAATTCTGGGAGGTAACCAACTCATCACCTGCTGCTCTCTGTTGCTGTTTCCTGTAATTATGGCTGGGAAACAAGTCACTCTGGATGGCAACAGCCCTCCATTGTGCTTGTGTGTGTGTGTGTGTGTGTGTGTGTGTGTGTGTGTGTGTGTGTGTGTGTGTTGCGGGCTGTGGGGATGGCCACAGTGGGGTGCCTGAGGCCTCAGCTGGGGGACTAGCAGCCACCTTTTCCTTGGTACCTTTCCACAAGGGCGTCTCTTGTCAGTGGCAAAGGTGGGCTTCCTGGAAATATAATGTTGGCTTCCTGGACACAGGCCAGACCCTTGTTTTCTTATGTTTCTTAGATATGAGGCTTTTTTGTTTGTGTGTGTATATGTGTGTCAGGTCCATTGCACATAACTTTGGAAAACGACCCATTTTTAAAGGGATCCCACGTCACTTCTCTGTGGGGAGATGGCATATTTCTGAAACCAAGACAAAACATGATCTGCTAGAAGTGTTTCTCTCCTTGCAGAATACACTCTGACGGCAGAGCTGGATGGGTCGAGGCATGGAGAAATCTGTCCTGGGTTTTCTGATTCAGGGTTCTGTTTGGTTACATCGGAGGAAACGGGCAGCTTGAGCTTAGAAAATTGTGTGCACCTTTGAGAAATCGTGAAGCCCTTTTGGTCTCAGCTTCCTTTGCAGGATCGTAGGATTCAAGTGCATCTCTCATAGTTAGTCAGAAAGTGCCTGGTGTTACCGTCTGATCTGATCCCGTTCTTCAAACATCAGAGGCTGGGGAGAAGATGGTGATTAACAGCAATGCTTCTCTTCAGAAGGCCCTGGTTTGATTCTCTGACAAACCGTGGATAATCTTCCATTCCAGGGGGTCTGGTGCCCTCTTCTGGCCTCCTTGGGCACTGCATGTGGGGCCAAATGCCCACCCCACACATATGAAATAAAATAATAATAATTTTTAAAAGTTGGGATGGCTGGAACAAAAAGGCAGATGTGGATTGCAAACGCGTCTTCGCGTGAAAGCCCAGTGCACATGGAGAACAATTCTGTAAATAATAACAAATCTGTAAATAATACCTTTGCTCCAGCTCTTGTCTGAGGGTTGGTTGGTGATTCAGTTGGCTCAGAGGTCAAGCACACTCACCACTCTGGGTTTGGTCTCCAGCATGCAAAGAAAACAAGCTTAGGGGAAAAAAAAGACATAAAATTTGGGGGCTTGCTTTGTTTTGAGTTTTCAAAACTCATGAGACTTTGTGCCACCAGAAACGTCTCCATCTGTTCTGAGGATAGTGAGCTGGAGACCAAGGAGAACTTGTGTCCTCAGATGCCTTGTTTCAAAAGAGAACTGTGATCCTGCCAAAGCAGAAGACATCCGGCAAATCTACTTCCCTTTGTTTGCGATGCAAGTAAAGCCGGCGGCAGGCGAATGAGAAACCACGAGAGGAGAGACGCTAGCACACGTGTCTTGCCTGAATTTGGGTACCAACCTGGGAACTGAATATTCCAAAGAGGCTGCTCCCTGCTGTACACGGAGCACCAACAGCTCTCAGGGGATGCAATTCTAAATCCTTATGCGGGAAGATTCAATTCCTTCTTAAACATTGCAAGAAACAAGGACTTGCGAGCCCTCCATTTCCCTTCTTATTCCTTTCTCTCACCCCCAAACACGCAACGATAACAGCAGAAAACAACTCCCCACACCTTGAGCTTTGACAAGTCATATTTAACATTACATTTTATACAGAGGGAAAAAAAAGTTATTTCCTGCAGTTATATCTGGTGACCTTGAGGATGGCTGTGTTGAGTATGATCGTCTCCAAATGCAAATCAGTCCCCTAGGACACGGCTGTGATCCCAAAGCTTAATCTGTTTGTGACCTACACCCTCCTCATCTCCCGCTTTGGACCCCACTGTCAAGTTCTCTTAGGATGTTTGCTTAGTACTGATGTGTAAGGAGTAAGGTTTTCTGCCTACCACAGGTCTTGTCCCGCCGCCACGCCAGCCCCAAATAACACACCGAGACTCTGTATTAGATATAGTGCTGTTGGCCAGGTACTAGTTTCTTATCGGCTAGCTCTGTCTTAATTATTAACCCATTTCTATGTATTTCCACATGGTCTTACCGGAGAGCGGGGGCCGGCGGTTCTGTTCTCTCCCATCTCTCCATCTTGACTCCTCCTTACTACTTCCTCTTTCCTCCTTGTCTCCTAGTCCCGCCTATCTAGCTTTCCTATTGGCCAACAGTGCTTTAGTCATTAACCAGTATGAGAAACATATTTACAGAATGACATCTCCCATCACTGATAGAGGTCTCCCCTGTACAAGGTCCCACTTAGTTCTACAGTAGCTTCCTTGCAAGACAGTAGCAGGGAGGCAGTAACCTGTGCTGGCTCCTCGCTAATCGTGTGGTCTTAGATCCTCACCCCCCATCAGTTTTCGCACCCATTGAGCTGTTACAACCCTTCTATGAATATTATTTTTTGTGTGTGTTCCTTCGGCTGCCGTCATCGTAAATGTCACACACCATTTTATTTTGTGTATGTGAGTGCTGTGCACACTCAGGTAATTTGTCTTGTTCACATTTGCCCTGGTGAGCACATCGATGGGTGTCATGGCTGCCTGAGAAATACTTGTCCATGATGAATGTGTTGACCACATGTGTTATAGCGTTCGACCTCTCAGTGATACAGGACAGATTTGGAGTCCACTGAGGTTTATTCTACCTATGATGAATTTTCCCATGTGCTAGATTAGGAAGGACTTAACCCATTTTGCTTGGCATGGTTAGTACAGGTCTCCATTGCCCAAGCCTGCAGTTAACGAATCCCGGACACTGAAGTTGAATGTTTAGCCCCTCCACAGGCAATGGGAGACTTAAGAAGCAATTAGGAACTGCAGAAATGGTAGCGCCTGTTTGATCCAGATTTTTATTCTGCGGTGGCGAGGATGAGGAGACATGTCTCCCGTGGGTCAGCTGTGAGAATGCAATGTGGTATCATGGAATGCCAAGCCAGTGGGCCTCGTGGAGACCACTGAAGCCAGGGTGAAGTGTGTCACAGTTGCGACCCAAGACTCACTTTGCTTGCTTGAGGGATCCGGTGGGGTCATTCTGTGAGCTCGTTTCTTTTCCCTTTCAGACGAGAAGATGTATGATGCCTATGTCTTATACCCCAAGTGCCCGAGAGAAAGCCAGCACCACAGCGTGGACACAATGGCGCTGAAGATCCTGCCCGAGGTGCTGGAGAAGCAGTGTGGATACAAGTTGTTTATATTTGGCAGGGATGAATTCCCTGGACAAGGTATGTTTTAACTGAGGCATTAGACAATGACAACAACAACAAAAATAAATAAATAAGTAAGTAAGTAAGTAAATAAATAAATAAATAAATAAATAAGAGGGCCATGCCTGTAATCTCAGCACAGAGGGAGCTGAGGCTGAGTGGGAAAACAGGGCCAGCTGGGGTTGTATGTAGAGACCCTATCTCAAACAATAACAAAAAAAGGAAAGTCTTTTCTCCTTTCCTCTCCTATTTGCTCCTCTCTCTACAAATGCACCCCGAACACACGGCCTTGCTGTTCTCATGCCTGGTCTCCTGAATCTTCCTCTCCCTTCTAGCTGTGGCCAATGTCATTGATGAAAACATTAAGCTGTGCAGGAGGCTGATTGTCCTTGTGGTACCAGAATCATCCAGCTTTGGCTTTCTAACACACATGTCGGAAGAGCAGATCGCTGTCTACAACGCCCTCATCCAGGACGGCATGAAGGTCATTCTGATTGAACTGGAGAAAGTCAAGGACTATAGCAGCATGCCCGAGTCCATTCAATACATCCGCCAGAAGCACGGGGCCATCCAGTGGTACGGGGACTTTACAGAGACGTCGCAGTGTGCCAAAACCAAGTTCTGGAAGAAAGTAAGATACCAAATGCCACCTAGAAGGTATCCACCAGCTCCCGCAGTCCAGCTCCTGAGGCACACACCCTGCGACCACACATCAGGCAAATGGGATGCTGTCACAGGGCTCATAACTCCCTGACAGAGAGTGGCCGGTGTGGCGCGTGGTGGATGGCCCACAGCTACACCGTCTTTGGGGTTGTCCACCCCTGCAGCTTGTTGCTCTTTCATGCTGACTGACCTTTGTCCTTGTTTTTGGTTTTGTTTTGGATACTTTTAATGAGACCGGTTTCTTTAGCTCTCCTGTCTGTTCATGTCTCCTAGACACCCATACGCTCTCCTGAGCATGGGGCATGTGACACTGGCCCCCGTGCTCGGTGGAATACAGTAGATGGTTAAGATGACAGATCAGGTGGCTTGGTCTAACTCTGGGACGGGAGGTTTGGCAGTCTCCAAGCGGGCAGCCTTGGGGAAGGCCAGCAAGGACAGAAGCATGCGTTTCTGTGCTTGTCCAGTGTCGACCAGGCCTTGATCCCCAGGCAGTGTAAATGGCACCTGGATGTCCTTCACACTCCCACTGCAGTTAGATAACTGACCATAACTAGCACAATGCCCCCTGGAAGCCACTTAGCTGTCACCTGGACCAGTGGACTCCAAGTTTTGAAAGATAGTCTGTCAAAATGAATCAAGAAAGAGATTTTCTACTCTTAAAAGATGCTTTGTGTTCCAGAGTTCTGAGGAACAGTAGAGAGATTTGAGGTGATGCCATTCTAACCCCAGTGAATCTATGTGGGATTTGGTTAGCGAGTGCACCCTTTATTACAGGGCAATATATGGCCGCATAGTTCTCCCAGTGTTAGAATGCCAACCAGAGCTACCACCCACTATTACTATACCCTAAGGTCCAGTGAACACACGTGTGACTGCTTGGGGGACGCATGAACAAATGTCTACTGACCCCAGATAGGGCACTGGACACACACCACACAAACAATTGCATTGACTAGATTAATGAACCAGTGATTTTTCTTGGGGGTTTCTTGAAGAAATATGGGTGAGGACTTAGTTACAAAAGCATGGGTGACTCGATTCATCGTGGAAAAGCCCACCGAGCATGGTGACAGCTTAAAGATAGTGGGATCCCTGGAGCCCCGTGAAGCGTTCGCAATACAGCCACTCTCTCCTAGTGGCTGTTTCTGCTCCTACAGCCTTGGAGCAGGGTCTTGGGACTCTTTTTCTGGGATTCCCGAGGACTGAGGGACCTACAGAGAAGGGAAGTTTCAGAGGTTTGGAGGAGATAACGGAATAACTCCTTTTTGAGGAGGGAATGGGAGGGGCCGCTAGACCGTAGGCAGGGTGGGAGGGCCTTGGAGGAGAGGTAACAGGAAGGAGAGCTAGGAGAGTGGAAGGCCTCGTGGGAAGACATCTCTACTGAGAGAATTCACCAAGGCAGGCACTCAAGGCACTCACATCTTGACACTGGAGCTCACTTGAATATGTTTCATTAAAAAATTAATCTTGGTAGGATGTGAATACCACACTTACCACTAGTCACTTTTTTTAAAATTTATTTTTAAAACAATCTCATCTTACATACTAATCCCAGTTCCCTCTCCATCCCTTCCTCCCACTCCCCAACCTTCTCCCCACATCACCAGTCATTTTTAGGTTGAGTTGTTACTCAGAGCCATTAAGTGCATTCATGTCGATACGGCCATGGCCACCGTCCTCCTCCAAAACCTTTTCTTCACAGCAGACTGAAACTGTTCTCAAGTGAGTAACTTCTTCCTACTTCCGTCCTCCCTGGGCCCTGGAAATCACCATTCCGCCTCCATCCCTGTGACAGACACCATGCGGCATTTCTCATTTTATGACCACCACGGTTCCCTCCAGGGTCATCCTTGAGACGCACTTTTTCTTAGTTTCATCATTATCGCCGGTCTGTCTCTCTCTTCCTTTTCTTCCTCTTTATGTTTCTCCCCTCTTTTCATAGGCACACCGAGAGGAGCAAGCGTGCTTCCGAATGCCCTCACAGTTATGAGCTCACCGAGGTTCCCTCTAGCCGCATGCTTGTAATATTTTGCCTTTTCAGCTTCTCTTTGCACCATGGGAACCGTAACTCCCCACAGAGGGTTTGTTGGTTCAAGTACAGTAAGGTATTTGTTGCTCCTAAGAGATGTTGTTGAGTCTGTCTCCTTTCCTTGCATCGGTCTTTGTTTCTGCTGGATTCCTGGAAATCTCCAGCAATACTGGAGGACCTAGAGGCCGGGCAGGCTAATGGGACTCGGGCTTTCTTGTGGGGAGCCTGGGACACAGTGCCTGCCCAGTGGGTTCCGGACACTCCAGGTAGCCCATCTATGCACGGTGGTAACAGATCTGCCTGTATGGCATTCAGGTAGTGCAAGTTTGACATTTACCCTCTGGCTACTTCCCTCTGAAAGGTTCAGGGAGACAGTGGCTGAGGCTGTGTCAGGAGCAGGAGACATTGCCCCTGTCTCCTCTAAGAGGTTCCTCCACACCCCCTTGCCCACAAATTTTAGGAAAGGTATTTGTTTATTTCATCATTCTGATTATGTTTATGGGTACATTAGTTGAGTCAGTTAAAAAAAAAAAAAGTACAGTCAACTCATGGTCGGAATAAAATACTTTCTGAAAATCCCTGATATTTTTTAACCTGAATTTTCTCTTTCAGTCAGTTCGCCTCACCAACATGCCTTTGCTTGAAATTAAAAGAAAAAAAAAATGTGCTGAAGTGTGAGTGTGCGATGTCAACACCTTGACATTTTTATTAAATAATATTACACAATAAAACACAAAAGGCCCTTCGCTCAAAGGAATGACCACTTCACATGTTAGAACATCTGGCGTGCGCTCTTGCTGAAGGCCATTGCTTCGATGCAAGGTCTGTGAAAACACAGACCCGTAGTTTGAAGATGGAAGAGGCTCGTTCTACAGCAGCGAGCCCCGCTCTCTGTGACAGTGACTCCCCTTTGGTAATTTCAGAGAAGCCATGGTACTTTTGAAAGAGAACAACCTACATGTTCACCCCATCTCGACTATACGTACAGAAGGGTGATGGATTTCACACAGCCTTTCACTGATATCTATAGCAAGCCCACGGGGTCCACACCCCAAGCTGTCTTCTATTACTGCGTTTATAGAACTGGTAATGGCACAAGCTCTATGGCATTGTGGGTGATCAGCCAGTGATTAGGAAGTGAGTCATCGGAGTCTTCCTAAGAATTAATTGGAAAAGAGTGGCCTCAAAGTTTAGTCACGTTCGATGAGTCATCTAGCCTGGAGCTTCCCCACGAGTGTGTCACAAATGAGTTTCAAGTCTACTGGGGTACAGCATCCCCTGTTATCTGCGATTGAGCTGGTTCAGGAATCCCAGTGGGTGACTCAGACTGGATAGTGTTGAACTCAGTACATGCCCCATTTTCATATGTGTGTAACATTTACATATATAATATGTTTAATATATAAATATATATTTTATGTATACATTAGAAGCAGATTAACAACAGTGAGAGCAAAATCAAAGGTTTCTAGCAGTATATACTCTCATAGTACACATGTGAGCATGGACACTACCTTTTCATCCAAACAGCTTATCGTCCTGAAGGCACTGACATGTCAATCTGTGCTGAGCTGACGTGATAATCCCATACCTCAGCTGACTGAGGAGCTAAAACCTCACAGCTCCCCTGCTCACTTGATCTTGGTTCTGGTGAGCAGGAACTTATAGACCTTTGGAAAGAAGTTCTGTCAATTTCACTTTAGGAGACTAAGCTACCTCCAGAGTTCCCTGTAGCAGGGACCCAGAGGCATTGCTGTCTGGGGTAGCGGCGGTGGAGAAAAGCTGAAGAGTAGAATTTGCAGGATGATCTACTCCCACTGAGGATTCTCTCTTCTTGGTTTCAGTCACTGCATTCTGAAACAGTCAAGTGGAAAATCCCCGAAGTAAGGGTTACTAAGTTGTCAAGCTTCCTGCCATTCTTAGTGTGGTAACGGAAGCTTGCACTGCTCTCTTTGTCTAAGGAGTCGGCACTGTAAGTGCTGCCCGCCAGTTAGTCAGACACTCAATAGCTTGAGTCCTTGTAACTCTTACTGCACTTCGTGATGGCTCCAGAGTCATGCTAGTGACTAAGGTTCTTCCGTTAAATATCGTCTCATCAGCCTGAGACGGATCAATACAGAAAGGTGAAAGCTCAGGAGAGACCGTGTTCACCCGACTTTGGTTGCAGTATATTTGTATAAATTGTTCTACTTGACTTCAGGTATTGTTATCAATCTCTCACTGTATCAAATTTTAAGTTAAACTGAATCATAGATATGTTTATATAGGAAAGTATGTATGTCTGTACACACACACACACACACACACACACACACACACACACACAGAGTTTGATATTATTTTTAGTTCCAGACACCCACTGCAGAGTCTGCTTGCCTCTGCCTCCCAAGTGCTGGGATTAAAGGCGTGTGCCATCACCACCTGGCTCGGTGCATATTCTTTTAATCTTGTAGCTCAGATAGTTGAGAGAGTTCATAGAAGGGGCCCTTATGCACATTGGGAGGGAATGCAACGACAATGGAAATCAGCAAGCAAATAACAACAACAAGAACCAAACATGCCTGTAAGGAGTAAGGTTTTTCCGCCCGCTGCTGGTCTTGTCCCGCCGCCGCGCCAGCCCCAAATAACACACAGAGACTCTGTATTTGATGTAATGCTGTTGGCCAGTCACTTGCTTCTTATCGGCTAGCTCTGTCTTAAGTATTAACCCATTTCTGTTAATCTAATATTTCATCTTACCGGGGAGTGGGGCAGGTGTCTGGTCTCCTCAGCCTCTCCATCTTGACTCCTCCTTCCTACTTCCTCTTTCCTCCTTGTCTCCTAGTCCCACCTGTCTTGCTTTCCTATTGGCCAACAGGGCTTTATTCATTAACCAGTATGAGAAACATATTTACAGAATGGCGTCTCCCATCACCATGGCAGTAGAAAGGGACCTCCACAGGGTGTGGTGTGGGGAATAAGAGGGTTAAGATGGGGGATTCTCTTAGATATACAACATGTGTGACATAGACTCACGATAGGGAGTATTTTCAGGACGGCAAGCAGGCAGAGGAGGGGAGACA